CAGAATTTAGATGAAAAGGTATTGATGAAGGAAGTAGTACGTGTTCGGTCACTCAAAAGTATTAAAACTAATTAGGGCACGTATGCACGTACACACAAACACAGTCACATAGATATAAAAAGATCAGATGAGAAAAAAAGCAAGATATGAAATCAATTACGCAGTAAAAAATATATACAAACGAATATAAAAACGAATAAAAATTTTGCCACACCATTTTAATAATTTTGCGAGGAGTGCCAAATTGGATACCGAATTAGCCAACAAGAATTATAAACTGTAGATAGAAAAATATTCCCTAAAAGATATCGTCAAGCTGATTATTAGAGTTGGAGTCATCTAATGCCAAATTGCCCAATCAGAATTGTCAAGCTGGATGCATGAAGAGACCTGCTCCAGTTACGAAATTGAAGCCAAATTAACGGCCATAAATTACTATCTCAAATACTCAAAACTACTACTCAAACTACTATCTCAAGTTAACCAAATCACTTGCGTAATTGTAGCAGGATGGTGAAGTCGGAATTCCCGCGCAGGAAGTGAAAGTACTTCCCGGGTCAGAGGTGAAATTCTAAATTTCCTGAGTTGGACATGTATATTTTTAATAGTGTTAAAATAAGTAAATTTTTGTAAAAGACATCAAATTGAATTAAGTTAACTGAGCGTTCTTAACAGTATATTAGAGAAGTTGCTTTTATTATCTCGGAGCTGGAGTCCTGATCCGGATTCGGAGCCAAAAAAAAATTTTCGACGGAATGTTGGAGACATAATTTTTGTCAAATCGTAGTCGGGAATCGTAGTAGACTGTAAATTTCTCACAGGCCTGAATGGTAGAACGTGCTCAAATTAAGAATATTGTTTAATCACTAGAGGGGGCAGAGAGCTGTTCATTGAAGCTAAATTTAAATGCCTTCCATGGTATCCTCATTTTATCATTGGCCAGATAAGATCATCAATTTTAATCAAGGTTTATTTATGAATCCAACCTTAGCTTGTTTTTACAGGCACGTCGAGGTAATGACGAAGTTTTGAATTTTCGACCGAACCCACAAGACAAATAAAACAAGGAATTCACTGTTAAACGATTCACCAGATTATTGCATGTAGCGATTAAAAATCCGCATCTGGTATAATCATGACAGTCGGTAAAACGTCGAATTATAAATTTATTTTTTATATTTTCAAGTCCTACAGGGTCCGATATTTCACACTAAATATTAAAAGGAACACCTTCCTATGACATTCGGTACAGTTCTTTTAACATGTTGGCGTCCATAAAGTCTTAAAATATTTTGCAAAGGGAATTTATCGATATCATATGTTGTTTTGACTCTCATCGCTGTATTAAAATCAAGTGAAAATATTTGAATTACTTAAAAACAACAAACCTGGTTAGGGTATATTGAGAACTGACTTCACAACAAAATTGAAATTGTAAAGGGACTTTATGGACACCCTGTAAATCTGTTTCCAGGTTACATTGACTTAACTCGTTTCAAGTTTCGTAACGGTTACCAACGCGTAATTCACCGTCTTAATCCTATATGGTTGCATAGCCCGTAACTTTGTTCGTCTATTTTTTCGCCTTCATTTTTTAGTTGGTATCACCCTTGCCCGAGAGAGAGAGCAATGCTAACTTTAGCGAGACAATCATGTCGGTGTCTGATAATTTTATCAGCATTGAATCTAGAAGTAAAGTTCAGACAATTTAACTGAAATTTACAGGTAATTAGCTTGAATGTGCTTTTACCTATGGCTTTCGCCCGTGTTAGTCATAATATACCAAATAGCGTAGAATTGTCTACGGTTTCAACTTGACTCAATAATATTTTCAAATTGAACATTTTTGGATTCGCTCCATGAACGGTCCGTCCGTTGTCATTGTTTTCATGAGTCATTGAATATCTGAAATTCCAAGATTTACGCCTAAACGTGACGCAGCCAATCAGAGATGTAATTAAAATAAATTTTAAAAAACTATTTTATCACCCCAATTCAATACTTGTTACATTTAGGCAATAAATATTGAAATGTCATCGGCATATTTCATCCCAGCTTATATTTTACAAATCGCACGTTTTTTTTTGCAACCATGCGAAAAGTTTTTCGTGCATTCAACAGTCGATATTTAAACAGCACTATTGTCAAACTCAGGTTTCTATAATGTGTTGAACGCGTATTTATCCTGTAAAACCCAACTTACGTTACAAAAACGAGCATTTTTCTGTTCTTTTCTAAAGCGCTGGTATTCAACAAAATGTATCGAATACAAGCCAACCCACTAAACTCGAGAATTGCGTTTTAAAAACTGGCATTTTGATGTTATTTCTTCAAATTGCTGGTATTGGACAATATGTATTAAATGCAAGCTTAGCAAGTAAGACCCGATTACTATATAAAAACGGGAATTTTACTATTCTATTTCATAGTCTTAGTATTAAACAAATAACATACGTTCAAACTTCCATCGTTTCAAAAGATTTTATTATCGGCAAACAAAACGCTCCTTCGTGTGTCTTGAGGCGTGACCGGCGTCACAATTAAGCTTCTACGGTAAATCGCCCACTCTTAACGCCGCGAGGGTATATTACCTATTCGTCAAAATATCGCTCAGCTTTTCACGCTTTGCCAATGTATAAATAATGCAATGTATTCCGTTACTGGGCGACTTATTCACCTCGGTTTTTAAGCTGTTTTGAGAACAAGGATACTCTGACTTTATCGAGCGTTAGTCGAAGATAAAACAGGCTTTAATGTGTATATTATAAAAGCATGGCTACAGAGTAGATTTAAATGAAACGGGCACCCGTGTGTACCAGAGTATAGCTAATGACGTATAGAATATATATCAGTGTAGCTAAGGACATTAGCCAGTGTGACTTTGCCAGATATCCATTAAACAGAAGATTTGCAGACAACGACTTTTCAGTAATTTAACCAGACAAATGTAAGGGTCAAATAAGCCTAAAATTTGGCAGTCGTGTTTAATTGAATATTTATAAATCATTGAGGTTGTATCTTTGTTATAAATCACTCATTATTTTTACAGCCCTTCCATCCAAAGCAAGGTTACGAGTATTTTTAGGTGAAGTGCCGAATACAATTAAGAAAACCTATCGGATATCATTCATATCTTCAATATAATGTATGAAAACACAACAAAAATTTGCGTTCAATAACTAAAGACAGATTAAATTCAAATTTGGACCTCGTTTTAGTGATGATATACTGAGACTAAAAGTATTTGAGGTAACTAACTGACCAATGAAATAGGATGAAATAGCCTTCTTTTCAACAAATTTAGAGGCTTAAATTTAGTGAGGAATAAATTCAGTGATCAAACGGCCCGTTTCCCCTTCATATTTAAGCCGTACTTATATGCTGAAGTATATTTGTCGAGATATTTGTTTTTATACAACGCTCTTCCATTTCAATATACTTGGTGAAATAGTGACCGCATATGGACGAGGAAACTTGCATGAGTGATGATATACAAACAAAGTAACCGTAGAAAACTCGTGCTGGTACCAATTTGTAAACCAGGCCATCGCACTTAATGAGGGATTATATCTCGTCTAGCCGGTGTCATATTTCGTTTGTAGTTCCAGCGTGAAGGTGGTTTTAACGGTGATTTTTACTGAAAATTTGACTCCGAGGTAAAAGACACTCATATTTGAGCAAAGTTACGCGCACTCACTCAGAAATAAAGTAGCCTCGTCTCTGAGTAAAATTTCGGGTTAGGTGCGGAAATAGTTTGACGGTGGTTTTTAATGAATATTTGACCAAAGCAGACCGAAGCCTCCGTAACTTTTTTTTGAGAAAATTTGCGTACGCACATTCACTCGGAGGTAAAGGATACTCATCCCTGAGCAAAGTTATGCGCACGCACTCAAAAGCAAAAGAGACTCATCTCTGAATATGGTTACGGGCACTCACTCAGAAATGAAAAAGAATCCTCCCTGAGCAAAGTTACGGTTAACGACTGAAATGCTGAGAGCTATTGAATTTATATTGAATTATAATGGTGCATTACACATACCCAATCAGAAGTAACGGAGACTTATCTCTGAGTCAAATTACCAGAAAATACTTAATTAAAAGAAAGAACTTCTCGAATAAAGTTAAGAAAGTTAATACGGTCAAGACAACGCGTGTGAGATAACAAACTCCATACAACTAGAACTTCAGGGAAGGAACTATTGACATAAAAGTGTCTTTGTCTGGTTAGGTACACTGGCAGAATGACGAAACTCGCTCGCTGTTGGAGCGTAATATTTATCCATCTTCAATAGGTTGTCGTTAGGCTCAAGGTAGTTCAAGTCAAGGAATAAGGCGTGAAACTAATTCAGTTCTTAAAAATTCTCAAAGACAACAGCACACTATATGTCGCAACGGCCTGGATTGTTTGTCAAAGCTATCTCGCCATCCCAGGTTGAAGTTTATCGGTTTAAAACCGATACAAACCGGGACAATGCCAGTGGCAGCATATACAGAACCTTGTTAGGGGTGATGGTTAGGAAAACGATCAAACTGAATCAGATGAAGTTATGACAATAAGCCACATTTTAAGGCAGCAGTTAATTTCGCGGGCAGGAAACATGCAGTGCGTAGAGCTCATCTACTTCCCTAAGCTTATTTGAGGATTCAATGTAACTAATAGCAGATTAAATGCGCACCAAACTGAGATTATTTTAGAAAAATTCCTCAGTCACGCACAACATGCCATAGTTAACAGAGCGTTTTTAATTTGCTCAAAGCAAGGTCAAGCACACCCACTCGAAAGAAAAGTAGAAATACATTTAGGCAAAGCGGGTGATCACCGAAAAGCAAAGTGTTACCGAGACCGTATTATCGTGAAAGCATAGGACAACAGCATTTTTTGTATTATGATGCCCGCCATTGCCCAGTGTACGTGGAATAAATGCAGAATTGGAAATATGAAAAATTTGATAGATTTGAGTTCACTTTTTACATTTGCCGATGGTTGAACAGGCGCTGAAAGTATATTTATTTTACAAATACTTATATACTGAATCTATTTAGCATTTATATATAAATTTGTACGGAATACGAGGCAAAACAAGGGATATTTATCTTTAATTACGACGGGTGTCGAACCCGCTGAATCGGATTAAAAATGTCACTAACAGTGAAAATCGGAACGCTCAGTGGCTTGAAAGGCAAAGGGAATCGCCAAGCGAAAATAACATTCAGAGGTGAGAATGAATTTTTCTATGGACGGGATAGCCTAGTGCAGGGATGTGCAATATATTTGTTTCGGGCGATATAATCAAGACATCTAGCCGGGCCACATAAAAATTTAGCGGGACATGCAAGCGGAGAGAAAGCGGTTATCGCGTTTCCTTACAGTAATAAACGCACCGGGCAAAATGGCGAAAGATTCAACGTTACGACAATAGCAAAAAACTTTATGTATATTTATCCATGTGATCTTTTTTAAATATAATATATATATAGGTTTTTATGCTTGTTGGGGTAAAAAAATCTGAGTGTTGAGAAGGGACACATTGAATGGCTTGGTTGGCCGGGTTGTTGCTAGGGATGTAAGTTTCGAATATTTTTTTTTTCGAATCGAATACCGAATATTTTTTTTTCGAATCGAATATTTCCGAATCGATTCTGATTAATACAACATCACTTTTTCTTTGACTTTATTCAACACACACAAGGTTATTTTTCAGTAAACACGCATATTAATACATGCACGCATAATAATGTTCAATTGAGGTGAACAATAAACTAGCAATCATTCACTGCTGCATCAAACTTCGGTTGCAGTGCAAGAAGTTTAACTCATTTACGTGTGTACCACTGAGTCTGGTTCTTAATCTGGAAACTGTCAAACCAGCAGAAGAGAAGGCTCTCTCCGCTGGTGCTGACGTACACGGTATAGCCAAGTACCGATTGGCCATTTTGTGTAGGGATGGAGAATCAGTTTTTCGGGCATGCCACCACAATAATGGGTTTAACCGCTCTGTATTTCTGTCCAATTTCTCTTTCAAGTACTGTGAAATTTCCTCCGACACTTTAGATGCATATCCTTCCGATTCAGACGAGCTTGACTGTTCAATCCCTATCGAAAAGAGTCCTTGGAGAGAATTTTGTTCCACCTCAGGAGCAGTAACCGCAGAAGGTTCAACGTGTATTTCATCTTGTATTTCTGGCATTGAAGCTTCAGTGGCTTCCATTTCTAGAGAAACTCTGACCTTGAAACACAAAAAAAAAATATTATATGGGTTTGTACAAGTCTATAAATGATATGAAAGGGATAATGTTAGTTGAACCACTTGTATAACTCACACAATGAACAACAGAATCCAGAATACTACCAACACATGTAAAAGAAAAAATCACAGTTGCAAATTAGGAACATCACAGCCTATGCGTTTTGAAAGAGTAATTTTGACCTGACTTCACAAATTTAAGAAATACAATGGTATACCAGATTTTAAGTGAATATTACCTGGACTCTGAAAGAACGATCAAAAAATTTCCCTTTATGACAAGGATGGAGCCATGTTGCTTTTTGGAACAAGTTGACCTCTTCTTGACTGGGTGTTTCCAGTATAGAACGAAATCGAAGTTTGAGAGAATTTATGAGAGTGTTTGCAAAATTCATTCGTAATAGCTGATAGTGTCCCACCCTCATTTCTCTTTTCCTCACAATGGCCCAACAGCCCTTTTGTGAGAGGAATCAAAGAGGAAACTGTTACATAGTCACCTTCAAGATGGTCAGAGGCAGCCTGTCAAAATATGAAACAAATAATTTTATTTCATACATATATGTGCTAACAAATATCAAGAGATATGCAAAGTAATTTACACTACCTTGAAGGGTTCTAAAATCTCTGCTAGCACTGTAAGCATATTCCATGTTGTTTCACCTAATTCCAGGTGACTTGCTGCTGTTCTAGGAGTAATTGTTGGGTCACATAATACAGATCGAATAGTCCATCGATGAGAGATCAAATTTTTTATCATAACATAGGTGGAATTCCATCTTGTAGATACGTCGATTGGCATTTCTATTGAAGGAGATGTGCCATCCTGAGCATGTCGATGTCTTAAAGTTGTCATAGCTTTCGTTGATCGGCGAAAGTACTGCACCAAATGACGAGCTCCAGCTGCAAAAACGAAGAAATTATTGCACTTAACAATATAAATGCTTACAATGAAATAATAACCTATGCAGATTAAAAAATATGCATTTTTTCTCTCATAAATTAGGTTTTTACAAAGACAAGTAATTTTAGTTAATAAACCTTTTCAATATAAATTAAAATCACCTAATGCATGAGATATTTCTTCAATTTTTAAGCCATCTTTGATGCAGAGCTGAATCGTATGTGCAGCGCATCTAATATGGTACCAACCATATTCTTCGTAAAGTGAACGACAAGCTGACACCACATTTGCTCCATTATCTGTTGTCACTGAGAGCACCTTTGTCGGGCTGATATCAAACTCACTCAATGATTTTAAAATTTCTGATTTTATATTTTCTGCCGTTTGAGCCTCATCCATCTGTTCTGTTGTCAATACATACTTGAGTAATTGACCATCGCTCGGATCTACGAAATGGGCAGTGACAGTTATATATGCTTGCATTCTTGCACTGGTCCACATGTCTGTTGTAAGTGAGACAGATTTTTCTTTTATGACCCCTATTATGTTAATAAGCTTTTCTTTACATTCTTTATACCTCCTTTCAATATGTTTAGTTACAGTGTTACGCCCGGGTAATACATAGCCTGGCTGTAAGTGATGTATCAGTGAACGAAAATGCTGTCCCTCAACAAGGTTTATTGGCCGGAGGTCTCCAACAATAACTTCAGTTATCAATCTATCTATTGTCTCACACTGACCCTTAGTTATTGGCTTGAAATAGGCAGTCAAGCTGCTTTGCTGAACTGAAGAAGTTCTGGAATTAAAAGAACAACAGGTTAACCTCATCTCAAGACTGCAAGAGGACTTGTTGAACAAAGTCCACTATCCAGACTATCTGACTACAGGACTATGTTTCACCAAAAACTACAGACAGGCAGAACTACTGACAGACTGAACTAACAGAAATTCATAGCATGTAGCGGCTTAAGCGGACGAAAATTAGAAAACAAAAAGATAAATATACGGGTGTACAGGATAAATATGTAAATCCTATCCTAAGCTATTGACTTACCCAGCATGAACAATGTTTCGGGGAGCAAAGGTGTCCTCACATGTAGGCCTATCCTTCACGTCCTTAGGTCGGATAGGGCTTGAAATGCCAGTTGAGGCGGTCACAAACGTATGCTTCCTCCGTAAATGGTTTAGCAAGTTTCCGGTAGTGTTTTGATACACAAATTTTTCCTTGCAAACAGAGCACAAGGTGTAAAATGTGCCATTTTCCTCCAGCGGCGTACAGAAATAATTCCACACAACAGACGTCGGCCGCCTACCCTGTTTTCTGATACCGGGTTTCGACTTCATATTGATGTTTTGCATCTATCAGTTTATGAAATACACGTTTGAAACATACGATGGCAGTACAAATGCACGAAGCGACTAAAATAAACGTGCGGAGCTCGCTCGCAGCCACAATAAACATGTCTAAACCAGTCACTTTGGTCTAAACTTGTCCCGGCGACATAGATAAATAGTCGATAAGGCGCAATTTTAACAATTAATCGATTTTATTCGCTGGCCAACGTGACGTTAGTCTTACGACGCGGAGAATGCATTGTTTCAATTGATTTTTTTTTAATCAGAATCACGGCTCTTTTTTGAAAATTGCTTCGAATCGATTCGAATCAGATTTGATTCGAATCGATTCGATTCGAAATTCTGAAACTTACATCCCTAGTTGTTGCCCGCCTGTTACACACCTCTGCCCGAACGGCTAGACAGGGCCTGGGATAAAAATTTTGCCCACATAAACTGTCGGCCATGTAAGTGTGACGTAAAAAGTGACATTTTTGAACAATATCTAAGTCTAAACAAGTCTAAAACAAAGTTGGAACAACAATTTCATATTTCACAACCTACACGTTAGGGGCGACATGTGGTTGAATATTGGGTAGAGCGAAACTTGATATCACTCATTTATTTCGATGAGGGAATCATTTGTTAATCAATCGGCTAAAAACTAGCCATCTCTCGGTGACTACGTATGGTATGCTAGGACAAGGAGAGACTGCCCAACATTTTTCTCAAATTATAGAATGTAACATTACAGCATTTGTAAGCCAGTGGTCTCTCGTCAACCTGCATTTGGCGCGTAACGCAGCAGCCTTATTCAGTATAGTATATTTTGGTATTTTGGTGAATTCTAAAAAATCCTTTGAGTGAGTGCCCGTTACCTTGCTTTATGTAAATTCTATAATGAGTCATGATGGGTCGCTATGACGGTATTTGATAACGTTTGTTGTTCATTTTGTGAAACACAATGTGGATGTAACATCATTTCCCTCACACTTGTAATTATTTCCATTCACAAAGAGGACTCGCATTCGGTTTCGTCTTCATTTAATATTCAACAGGCACGACATATTATTACGAAATAAGCCACTTTTCCTCAGTCTATTCAAACATCATAATAAGTACTAAATTATTCATTATGACCGAACAACGTTTCGATGTTTGGTATCAAAACGACGAAGCAAATTTGTAAGAGCTCTTCGACAAATGAAATGATTAGTCAATGTTGAAAACGTAATAACCATATTTATAAATACTATTCAATTTGCCACGCGCTGTTTGTATTACTATCGGCCGTTTTATTTTGCGAGTACAAGCGCAGAATCCATATTGGCTTCCAATTCCACATCCCATCACCCAGAGTGTATTGCGCAGGCAATGCCGACCTGAAGGATTTCGATCCAAGATCTAGCTTCTCGAACGTTAAAATGGTAATAAGAAAAGTTTTTGGCTTTTGATAATTTTTTTGCGGTATTATTTGTCATTTATATAAATCCAAGAAATAAATTTAGGTTCTTTCCAATAAACAGTCGCTATTCCTATTTCAATATTTTTTCGGCATTTTTAACCTGCGAGAAACCACGAAGCGGGGTGTCAATATAATTTACATGACACTAAATCTCTCTCGTAACCAAGCCTTTCGCAACTTGTGAACAAACCTGTTTCGAAAAGTAATAAACTTACGTTTTTATTACAATCGCACCACCTCGGCCTTCTTCGTAAGATTTTAGAAACATTGGCGACTAAATCCGCATAAAATTCTTGGTCCATAAATAGCAAAATCTATAAAACACATAATACACATTACGGACTTCGTCTCGGATCCCATATCCCGGTTTGGTCGGGATTCAATTTTTTAATTTAAGTTTTATACGCCAGATCAAAAATCTCTTACCATCTGAAACTAATTTTGCTTCTCCCAATTTTATTTCTTCGTGGGGTTTGCCTAGTTAGATAAACTGTATCCTTTTCTTATTATATTGACGTGTAAATATTTTCATTACATGTTCAAGTTATTTTTAAAATTTAGGTTCTCATTTGTAAATATTTTCACAAATTCTGTTTTTCTGCGTTTGGGAGGTCAGGGTTACCGACGAAGGTACCGTTAAAATAAAAGTAGTTTTGAAGCCAACTATTGATAATCAAATTCTCTCGATGAATCGCAATTCAGTGTTTACCACGCACGTTCATCGCCGTAATTTTTCTGATTAATTTCAGAAACATGGCTGTGTTACGTTAAATAAGATTTCGTCTCGCAGGTGTAGCAATTGATAGATCATTTTACAGCTGGGGACGTACCTTACCAACCTCGTACGGTCAGTGAAGTCGGATTCGTCAGGTTATATCCCACCACACCACACAGGAGATGGCGTTGAAGGGGACGTGGCCTCTTTTTTGTTATTTCTGAAATTCCATGTCAAACTGGTCTCAATGGCCGAAATTAGACGTCAATCGTAATTCAATCTTTCGTCTAATCTAAACCTTCCTGTTCATGAATTTATCGGTTATAGAAAACTCGTTGCCGTATTCTTTGTTGACCAAACTCAAATAAACATTTGAAGTAGACTGTGTTTGATCACGCCCATATGATACGACAGCCATGGGAAACGTACAAAGTACTTAGATAATTTGAAGATTCTTAATTTTTATATAGCATATAGCACTAAACGTGCGTTGAAAGCGTTTGGCCAACTTTTATATTATCGGTAATCTATTGTCGAGATGCTGGTCGATAAATGTCATGTATGGGCAAGCATGTATTACTTAGCTCAATTCGCCAATCCACTTGATCTCACCACTCAATATAATTAAAATGGCGGCACTACAATCGTTATGGCAAAAAGTTCGGGCTCGAAAACTGTACAAGCAGTATGAAGCGATTCATCATTTCACCTAAATCAAAACTTCATACCAGAGGTGCGCAGAAGACGAACCGCGGTCCAAAACCCGGCCCGCCAAGACATTTAGTGCGGCCCTTGTCAACACTCAGATTCTTCCCACCAAGCATAGAATGCTAATCCGACAGTTGATGCTAAAAAATGCACTCAGGTGCTTGAAAATACATGTTTTTTTGCTCTTGTTGTTGCCTTAAATCTTTCGTCGTTTTGCCCGGTGCATTATTACTGTAAGGCGAAGCGATAGCCGCAATTTTCATTTTTGTGTGGCTCATCTAGATGTCTGAATTTGGATATATGGCACACCGACGAAACATATTGCACGCCCTCGCTTTAGGCAAACAGGCACGTAGACTTAAGTAACAACTGCGCTTGGAAATGCCGAGGTATTTCTAATCTAGAGTAGTACACCCGGTTTATTTTAATCCGGTATAACAGTTCTGCATTTTGTATGTTTCAGATCACAGCTATGTCACACAGACCATTGAAGATTGCGAAAGCGAGGCGGATTTTTATGAGGTGAGAATTGTCACTCCGAACAGGGAAAACTCCAAATATTAGTATCAGCCCATATGATTGATTGATTGCGCAGTCCAATGGGGAGGAGTGACGGCACGTCGTAAAAAAAGTATTATCGAATAAATCTAGGGTTGAACTTTTTCGTGTCATTGTTATACAACGCCCATTTGCGCCCTTTACTATTCTACTACTATTTTACCTTTACACTGCCCGCCCAAGTTTTTCTTTGATTGCACTTGGAATACATTAGGACCTTAACGATTGTTAAACGACTTTAGCTAAGCCTATAGTCAACAACATAACAAAGCATAGAGCAGCACTGCTCTGCTCATCTTGTTAGAATTGGAATATTCTGACCGGTAAAGCTCTATTAATTTCCCGTGGATGAAGATTTCAAATGATATTTCAACCAATAAATTCTTGGTTGCTTTGTAAATTTGACGAGTTTTGGAGGGGGCGTTGCTGAGGCGTGGTCGATCGGTCCGCCAGGGCCGTCAAAACACAACATTCAATCCTCAACTTTTTATATCAAATGTCGGGGCTTGTTTATTCCGACTTGAGTAAGCATTGTTTGAACGCAACATTCACTGCTTCTTCTCATTGTGACCAAGACTCTATACAAATGGCTATTGATACGTAATAATGAGTTACTATACTGTACTTTGGAAGACCGGAATCTTCTGAATTCGGTATTGCCTGTCCAATTTATTACATTCTGGGCGAGATGGTGAGCTCTAATCTTAACGCTTTCGATCTAAATTCATAACGTTCTGAAATATTTGCCCAAATATCAACCAGGGCGATATACACACATTGTGGTCGCACCCACCAATTGCACCAAACTATCCGATACCTCTTCTTCTCTAGACATTCGAATGGCCGGTGGCGAGTGCTATTGAGCCCACAGAACAGATTCACATTCAATTCTACAATTTCAGCAAAGTATTCTCAAACAGGTAGATTTGGTTTTATTTTCGATTTTATTTTGCACATTTTATAATTTTTATGGTCAAGTGGATGAGTTTTTCCAACTATATGATCCTTTCTCTCTTTTTTATGTTAGTGGTCCATAAGTAATGTACATGGATACTAATGCTAGCCATGAAGGGCTATATTGAGCTATTGATAGAAGAAGCGTTTCCCCTTTCTCTTTATGTTAGTGGTTTTGTATGCACGGACAGCATGGGAATTCTAGCAAGTAACAAAATGATATTTATAGTTTTATTGGAGTGTATTCCTTGATACTCTTTTCTCTGCATTTGTGTTGTTTTTGTGGGTATTTGTCTAATGAGCCCAAGATAAAGCACTCCATTGTTCAACTCTGAACTTATGAATAAACATGTTTATGTATTGTCAGTCACTAATGGTAGTTGTCTATTGGATGTCGGTATTAATTATTAAATACTTTACTACATGTCTATCGTGTCTTCCGTTGTCGTTCTGTGCGGTTCCCATCATCCAATGGTGGGGGCTCAGGATTCAACTTTAGCTAATAAACACGTCTGCCAAATACTCACATCTTACAGAGTCAGGATGTCAGATAGCTCATGTCGCTTAAATCTGATCTGAATTGATGCGCCATCCACACATTATAACGAATCACGATTCAGACGAGAAAAATGAAACTATAGCGTCACTTAATGACCCACTGAACTATAGTTTTATTTAATCTGTTTATTCTGATTTCGTTAATTACCGCTTGTGTTTACAGACCGATCGGTTCGTTCGATATGCTGCTGCAAGAAGTTGTAGCGAGGGGTCGTCTCGCCATCACCGAAACATTACTGGATTCAAACAATACTGCGTTATCGGTGAGTACATGTAATCCATAGTTTTCAACAAGGGTCACGCGGCACTCTAGAAATCCGCCAGGACAGTCCCATGGTCCCGCAAGTTCACTTCGTAATCCTATTCGATCTGTATTAATAATATATGTACATTTTGCTCGTGTATCTTAGTAAATTTAAACAATATAACGGGTGGTCGCTAAAAAGCCTAAAATTCAAGGTCAAGAAGGACTTCCTCAGACAAGACACTGCTCTGAAGTACAGGGACAACATTTTGAGTATATATGTGTGTAATACTGGGGTGCACAACCTTTTTGATATTGGCGGCCACATTGCATTTATTTGTATTCAATACGGCCTCCAGGGAGTCGTCGGCGCGAATTTTTTTTACTTTTATGACGTCACAACATCGTATTTTATCCATGCGAGGTGCAGTCTGCCCAATTATGAAGTATGTGGGACTATATTATTCGCGGATTTTTCTTTCGGTGGACCTATTCTTGAGCAGATATATTGCAGCAAGTTGGATAATAGTTGCACAATTTAAAAAAAAATCGAAAGTCGAGGAAGGGGGAGGGGTGGTCGCCCCCATTTTCTTGTCCCCAAAAGTATAATAAAATGTCAAATATTTTAATGAATTTATTCTATAAAAGTTTGCAAAGCATTGCCGCCAAATCCTTTTTTTTTGAATTTTTTTTGTTTTTTTGTTTATAAGATTTTGTATGTGGACGGCCGCATTATTTTATCACGACGGTCGCAGGTTGTGCACCGTTGGTGTAATATAGCATATACCTTCAAAAACTTTGTAAAAGTCATTCTTTGTAAAAATGAATAGCTGTTTGACAATTTTCTGTTTTTCTAGCGACCACCCTGTAGAATTGTTTAAATTTACTAAGATACACTGGTAAAATATAAGTGTGTTCCACGATTGTTCCATGGACGTTGCGCGTCAAATTGTCGATTTGCAAATATATTTATATAATCAATTCCACGGGGTTTTCTCGGCCTCTGGAGTGTATATCGGGGATCCGCTGCACTAGAGTGGAAAGCCACAGATCAAAGCAATATTTGAGATTCATCTAACAGAAATATCGTCGAAATTTTTATCGATTTGTCGATTGCTTCTGGAAAGGGAACTTTATGCGTGGAATATTAATTTTGCTATGACTTTGTATGCTAAGCCTAAGCATTTCCTAAAGCTCACTCTGTTTAAAGATAATGAGAATCACTTGCTTTAAAGAACAATGTATATCACACAAGGATTGCCATATTATGCAATAAACCTTATGCGTGGAACACCAATTTTGGCATGAACTTTTTTATCAAGTAATTTTACACCTGGAATTTTAGCCAGGTACCAGACAAGCAATTACAAAGAAAGAAAGAGATACCATGTTAGGAGAAACATAGTCTACTCGATTTATTATACCCCGGCCGACTTCAAATGTCACAGAAATTTTCTTTTGACGTTTCCGTGGCCGCACGTAACCTTATTCAGAAATGAGTTTACTTTACTTTTGAGTGAGTGTGTTGCACAACCATAATTCAATATAGTTTCAGTAGCTTTTGATATATCATTGGTGGGACGTAACTTTGCTTAGAGATGAGTCGTTGACTCTACTCTAAGGCTTTTTATAGGAGCAAAACAATCGAAATAAGTTTTCCTATTTACCTTGTGAAATCGTCCCGCGTTGTTTCCACAGGCGCTCGTATCTCTCGACTTCAAATATGTCGCCCCAGATGGAAAGGTCGGTGATTGGGCGATGGATGAGTTTATACCAGAGATTGTGGTGGCTGACGATTTCCAAAGTATTCACACCACAGAAACAACAGGAAGCAAGAAAAGGTTTGTGAAAATATTTTTAGTATAATATGGTTTCTAAGTTGCAGGTCTGTGAGGTTGGGTAAACAAATCTAGAATCCGACTCTGGCGTTGATTTTGGACTCCGGATGAAAAAAAATGATTCCGGCTCCAATTCTGTATTCCGCTCAGTTGTAAGGCTGTGGAATTAGATGAGCAATTCAAAAATACGTCTCTGGATCCGGTTTCAGACTCTAGGTTCCAAAAATGACTCCGGATCCGATTTTAGACTCCGGATGCAAAAATTGACTCCGGCTCCAATTTTGTACTCCGCTCAGTTGTAAGGCTGTGAAATTAGATAAGCAATTCAAAAATTCGACTTTAGCTCCGGTATCAGACTCCGGGTTCAAAAAAAATGACTCCGGATCCGATTTCAGACCCCGGGTTGAAAATTCCAACTGAGGATCCGGTTTCAGACTAGTTTTACTCGGAGGCTAGGTTTTCCTGACTTCAAGGTCAAGGTCAAACCAATGTTATCGACTTCTAGTTAATGCATTGTTGACTCGGGTCTCAATGCAAGAATAAGCTTGTTTCATACATTCCTCTCGAGCAAGGATTATTCTTCAAAAGGACGTTCTATAAAGCTGTCCGTGAAATTACCCACAAAATTCTTCCCAATCAAACCACGGATTAAGGGTCAGCGTTAGGGTTCAATTTTGTCATATTTTAGGGAAAAAATGTATTGTAAGATTTTTCATATGTGAAATATCTCTAGCTCCCTCTATATAACTATGGACCGTACTAGGACCAACTTTGTTCGAGGGAATTTGAAATAAGATCAACTTTGTCGAGGCTTTTTGTGGAGAACTTTGTGCAAGAGGGTATCCCATTTTCGCAGTTCTCTAAAAATATGTTTAGTACTTTCTCGCCTGTTGCTTGCTTTGTTAAAAAGATTTTTTGCTTCCCCTGGAATAGTTTGCTTCATGACGTCATGTTCCGAGGAGGTCGGACACCAAATGATATGAGGTTTGTCTGTGTGTCTGCATGTCGTCTTGTCCTGGAACATTATGCCAAATATTTGTTTAGGATATATAAATGGTTCATTCTTAATGGAATTATGGCCATATCGTATATTATTATAACGATAAGTTTTAAAGTTCCCAACAAAGCCAAGTATAAGATGATATGTTCTTAATACAATGTTTTCACGCGTTTCAATCGAAATAAATGTTATGGGATTTCTCTATAGTGTAGTGAGCTACCATAGAATGATGAACATATTTTATCACGTTTTAAAAATTTGCATTTACCTTCTATAAAGTAGCAGCTTATGCAGTTCGGAGTGAAAGGTCGAATGTCTAGTGAAAATTGTCGCATATAAAATCAGTACAGCTAATGCGACTAACAACTTATTCAATATCACCACTTCACTATTGAAATGTTTCCAATGATTATTTTATTTATTGTCAATTTAGAAACTTAGTGGGCGGTGGGATTCTTCTAACTATTTTTGGCGTTGCTGGCAATCTCACGCAAGATGTAATACATTAGATAGGCAATACCAAGGCAGAAACCCAAATCTTTACCTATGTAATGCCTCTTTGCGTGTGAATGACTACTTGTCTAAAGCCATGTTCGTAGTAGAATTGTGCCAATACATCATAAAAATATATTATCATTTCAGTTATCACTTTGCTCGAATCATAAATTCTTAGTGGCGTGTCTCTAGTCTAGAACAAGGGCGGCGAGATTTTTGGTTCAGGGGACAAAATCAACTAAAATGGCGGTCAATGTAAGTGTGACGTATAAAGTTACATTTTACGAACAATATTAACAGTGTTACAGATGCAAAAATAAAAAACAATACGCCTCGTGCCCAAACTAAATTTAATCGCAGTTTCGACAAATTTATTTTGTTATTTTTTGGCTTCAATATCAAAATTTGGTTTTAGTTTGGTTGTGGCAGCATCAGGCGGGACAGGTTGAATTACCATACAGTCTGTAGTTTGCCTATGTCAGCTCTAGAATCATCAAATCTTGTTTGACATTACTCTGGCCTAAGATATGTCCCGTGAAAATTAAAAGCCTTTTTCAGGCATAAACAACGAGTGAGGCTTGGTCTCGTTTTCTAATTGTAAATCCCCTCTATTAGCGCATACACGGTTGGTTTGCTAACTATAATCGCTTTCGTAATTTAATCGTTTCTTGGTTACATAGATTTAATGGTCGATTATGATCAAACAGACCGTGAAATACGTAATTGGGATTATTTGTTATTTTATTTGTTGCGATTCGAAACTTTTATTGCGACATGTGATCGTGATAGGGGATAAAGCGTTATCTGTGTTGTGGCTAGGGTTTGGCATTTTCGAATATCTGGTGTTTCCAAATCAAATCTATTATTTTTTTTGGAATCGAATACTAAATAAGAATAAATCGAATGAATTTAATCTCGAATACTCAGAACAGATGTAGTTTTACTATAATGTGTCCTTCAGACACCTAAATTACTGAAACACGAAATCTATTACTCAGAACGTTTGCTGAGTTGTCACACACAATAAAAAACATACTTCATCAAAAACTCACTCGGAAGAATGGATTCATATTTCCAAATTGCATTATAAAAAAAATATCTTCAATAAAAAAATAGGAATTCACCTCGACCTTCGGTGGAGACAAATCAAGATGGCGGCAATTCCAAATTTTGTTTGGACCGATATGAATAATTTACTATTCGATTCGCAAAGCCCGGCTCTAATTGTGACTGGAATATCTAGGGTTCAAAAATATGCATATTCCTCGGATGCGCATATTCTATTCTTAACATTAACGACGTGTATAATTAATTAGAAAAAATGGTAATGATGCAAAATTTATCCCCAAGGTTTTAACCCGAGATATTTAACTCGTGGAGCCAATATACCGTGTTTCCCCGAAAATAAGACCTGAATTTTAAAAATTATTTTAATATAAGCCCTCCCTCAATTAAAATACGACCTAGTCGATAGCAGGAAATTCTTTTGATCTAGTTGATAGCAAAAAATCTCCGCTACACGTTTTAAATGATTAATCTTAAATGTATATCGGTTTTCATATTTTATATATTTCAAAATCTAGTATTTCTCTACTTTGTAATTTTGTTTTTGAGAAATGAAAATAAAATAATTACCCTCAAAATAAGCCCTAGTGGTATATTTCAGGAAAATGAGGAAAGAAATAAGACACAGTCCTATATTCGGATTAACACGGTAAGTAGGACACCGTTTTTAGCACTAGGCGGCCCAACGGTTAGGAACCGCTGACCCAACCATTAGACCAGGGCTACACAATTGGCGGACCGCGGTCCGAATCCGGACCTTTCGGGTATTCGATTCGGACCCCGCGTAATTTTTTATTTCGGATCATTAGCCCCACTTTTGAAGTTTCCTTTCATAAAATCACTTTTATAGATTTGAAAATATATATGAAATGAACTATAACGCCATAACAAACAATCTTGATTAGATAATAATCATTAGTCGGCCGAGCAATTGCGTGTTTAGGGATGCCGAAATATAAATTCTGGAAAGTCCGGACCCAAAAATTCTTAAAGTTTTGTATGCGGACATTCGGTAAAAATAGTTGAGTAGCCCTGCATTAAGCGACGACGGCCATATTCAACATACACCCAAGATAGTACAATCCGAGACATTCAACCAACGCTATAACCACTAAAACATCGCGCACTATTCGCATAGTTTAAAATAAACGTGTTTACATATGACACACTTCTCGATAAATCTTCTTAACGTCGCCAAAGAATGCTGCAAAACCTGCTTGCCACTACGGACGTAAAGTCGATATAATAGGCATATGATATGTATATTTGGAAATAAACACGGCGCAGTGAAACACTGGGTTTCGAAACATTGACTAATAAAATAAATTAAATAAATAAAGTATGCAATAACAAACCAAACCGGAAAATTACTGACTAAAACTTGGCAACTTGTTACGTATCAGTAGCTGTGATGGTGTGAAGACACCTAAAACCTAGTGGTGTCATTGCCTGTAATTACTACTTGATGAATGAAATATTATTGTGCAGAAAATTTAATAAACACATGCACGCCATGGAATATAGTACGTCTAAAGCGCACGAATATTATGATTTATTATATAACTTTTGCACACAACAAAAAGTCTTTGAGGAAGAGCTATTTTTCCTGTGAACTGTTTTTGCAGTGCTCTCCAAATGTATATCTTTACTGCGCGCCTATTTTTATCAACCCTAATCCTGCTATGTTAACATGGATACATGGCAAATAAATATGTTTTCCTTGACTGCCGTAGTCATATGTTGTTCCAGATACATATTCAAAATAAAATGAATTCTTTGGCATATATTTACATTTAATATTGCAGTGAAATATTATTAGTTAGTATTATTTTTTAAATTGATGTACGCATCTCTTTTATATCAGCCGCGTGATAGAATATCCACTTTATATAAACTAGGTACGATGCATATCTATGCTTGGCAGAAAAACATTTGACGGAGCGATATCGATACCGGTATAGGGCCTTGTGCTTGCTCTTTTCGGTGCTCCTGAAGTATGTGAACCAAGATGGCGAACGACGACCCGTAGTATGTGTACCAGGTTAGGGTTGGGCTATGATTTTATTCCAATATACTTTTATCTTAGTTCTATTACGAGTTCGGGGACTAGCCGTAGTATTTGTACATAAAATAACGGCCTAAAACCAACCTGATACATATACTAGGTTCCGGTGGCCGCCATCTTGGTACGCATACTTCAACAGTACTCTTTTTTCCACCCTAATACAGATCTGTCGTATCAGTTCGACTTATCTGCGTCATAGAATCTCCCGCTTACATATAAACGTGCCGATCGATTGTTTAGTAGATTGTTGCATATACTGTATATATATAATTAATATCATTAAGATACGAATTAGTTGATGAGTCTTCGTCGCTAATTAACCCACCAACCTCACACTGGGAGGAGAGAACGAGAGAGAAGAACGCAATCTCCCGACGACCGATTGATTTATGGAAGAAAGGAGCAGGGTTCACGACCCCGGAAGTTAACAGAAGTGCTGCTGCCATTCTCAGTCCGAAATCGAAATGGAAACATTTTGCTCAAAAAGCTGCAACAATGAATCCAGGCGAGGGCGCTATTTCAAGTTCTACACCAGTACTCCCTGACGGTGACGTCACTAAGTTTCCAATATCGATGACGTCATTTCGGAAGAAATCAGCTGCTGCAATCGGAACTCAGAGACACGACTCTTCTCAGCTCTCAATACTGTCTGCGTTCAGGTAGTTTTGAGTGAGACACGAAAAGTAACTGCACGGATTTGGACTTCATGTAGATTTTTGTACTTTTGTGCGATATTAGGTGTGTTTTTTGTTGCTTGGAAAATTCCCCCCATGAGAATTTCACCTATAAAATCTTATAATATAATTTTTAACAAAGAATTAATTAAAAAAAACTTCCCTCGTTGGGGTTTTCCATGAGTAAGACTTTCAAATTGAGTAATTTATAGATGGAAATTTCAGAGGGCTGAATTTTCGAGTGAAATTCTTTAGTACCGTTTTGTGTTGTTTATTTAAATAAAAAATGAGTTAATTACAAAATGACCGACCTGTAAAAAGCGGTTTAAATCACAGTTTGTTGCCACTCGATGGCAGTCATGTGCCTCCCAGGGCCATGGCTATTGCATTCACATTCACTAGATAGTCACTAGATGTCGTGTGTTTCATCTTTACCTATGTTTGTTTACTTTCGATTGTTCTGAAAGTAGACGTTTTTGGTTTGTTTTTGTTGTATCTTTCAGATCCAAGTAATACGTAGCGGATCGACGGTTTGTGGCGATAACGAATTGTTTTGCACTCGCGCGTGAATGACAGTCGGTTTTTTAGAGAAAAAGCAGTAATTAACTGGTTAGTTTTTACCGTACACGAACTGGTGGTCTCCTAACGAACTGGACCGGACATGAGGCTGTCGGGTCATGAATATTCATGAACCTTTCACCTCTCGAAACGACGAATGGTGTCTCGTTGTGGCCTATTAGAAAATGAATTCGTTTGCCTTTATGGAGAGGCGACATATTGGTCACGTGCAATATTTTCGAAATATTGTTCAATTAGGCAAATCGATTCAAAATGTCGAGATAATGTAAAATATAACGTCACCAATGGCGCCATTCGATTGTTTCTAAAAGTCATTGATTATGTTGGCTATGAAGTCAAAATGATTTTCCATAATTTGACTTCCATATTTATTGCTTTTCTTAAATATATTTGACTGTTTTATGCACGTAGTGATTTGTGTTATTATTCCTTTCCATCTCTATCGTGTTTTTAAATTTTTGAATGCGTTACGTATACTTTTGTCACCAAAGATAATGTTAGATTTTATTGTAGTAGACACTCTATATTCTGGTATTGCAATGCACATTGTTTTGGGGCTACAAAGCCCTGACTTAGTCGTTCCTAGCATATTATAATATATGGTCCCAGCTACACGAGAAATGCCCCGCTAAAGATGAGTAGTTTATTGTCGCACAGCCTTTAATATTTTTAATTTATTTCTGTATAATTAAGATCCAGGCTATTTGGTCAAAATATTTCTATCACGACTCCAACTGGGATTGATAAAAATGAAATTTTTGATATATGAGTATGTTATAACATGTCATATTTTGTTTTAATTGAAAACCTGCACAAAAGAAGTCCTACCTAAAATCAGATTCCGGATCTCAACTCCGAAAAATCAATTTTGACTCCAACTCCATCGTGTGCACACCTTGTCTTCAGAATGTTTAGTTGCTTGTACATTTCCACTGCGACCTCATGACATAAATTGTTGACTTGATAAGGTTCCGCGCTTTCTCTACGCACTCTCTTGTTTGACTTCGGGGGTTTTTATATTTAAAAAAATATATTGGAATTGCAAAAGTCTAAAATTAAGTTCATTATTCGAAAGTTATTAAAATTGCAGAAACTAATTTTGACAAATTTCAACTTATCTGAAAGACGATAATATTAGATTATTTTAGATCGTGGTATCTTTTATCCCCCCTAAAATCAATTCATTCATAACGATAGGGAATAACATAACATCCAGTTTTAATTATCAAATATTTTTAGTGGCAAAACAAAAGGAATACTGAAAGGATTCCGAGGTAAACAGAGACCGCCTGACGATACGGACGGAGCTGTTATTATTGGAAATCAAGCGGCTTTGGCAGGTGAGATGTTTTGTTCTGAGATTCAAAAAGTTGAATATATAATTTTGCTCAAAGCAAAGTGACTAAATCCGCAACATAGAGTGGACAAAATACTAGATATTGAAGAGTTATAACTAGTCAACTGGCAACCTGTGACCTATGCTATATACATAAGATATGCGTGAATGAAGCAAGGTCCTCTTAACTAATTTCAAAACTTCTTTTCATGCAACTTTGCTCGAATAAACTTCCTCAAACTTTCAATTGAAAAAATGGATGGAATAATAATCGATCGCTGACATTCTATAAGCAATACAGTATATAGTTTATAGACAACTTTTTCCATAGCAAGATCACGAGTCTCCACTAAAAAGAAAAATTACTGCTAGAAAAGACATCTCAACAATGCCGTTTAATGATAAGACATAAAGCTAATCGTAGGCGTGAGCCTGATTGAATTTCATCAACTTTGTTTTAATTTCAAATTCCCCATATCCTGGCATATGAACCGACTTCTTTGAAACGGTCCCAAAACAGTGAATTTATGAAAAAAAAACTTCGCATATAAGTCGGCTCTACAAATCGTAACACGCAGTACAAATTTTTTCACCCAACATTTTTTTTTAGTTAAATTCGGCTTATATGTGGATATATAGGAAGATATTATAAAACTTCTCCCTAAACTTCTTTAATCTTTCACAATCAGATGGGATCCGACAATCGCGTGGCGAACCCAAGATCGAAATTGACACAGTATCGATCGCATCAATGCAAATGGTGGAGGAGAATGTGACGAACAAACGATCAAAACCAGAGATCCGGTTTGAACCAGTGGGGATGAGACCCCAGGATTTTCAGGTAGGAAACCATATAAACGATGAATTACTTTCAAGTTGTAAATGTTTTATGGTGAAATGCCATAGCTCGCACGACGCATTCACGCCATTCAACAGAGTCTGTAACACATGCTATCACTGATATTTCAAATATTATTGGAATGATCGAAATCAGCATTGCTTTCCTATTTAAAACATCCCGGGTGAAATGATGGGGAAGTGTTGAATTTGAAATATTTAACCTGCGCTTCCAATATAGTTAAAAACCAACGCTCAAACCATTTGGAACACTAAGAGAATAGTTTTTCATGACTGACTCGAATATTTTAACAGTTTCATTCACATTGCGTGATGAACCTCCATGATTTTATATGGTACCATATATTTTATGATACCATATAAACCGGCGTATTCACGCCATTCAACTCGAACAAGAGTCTGTACACACTGATATGTCAAATAGTATAGGGATGATTGGAAATCTTTCTGGCTCGGTATTGCTTCAAGATTTATAACATCTCCGATGAAATGGTGGGATGATGTTTAATCCGAGATATTTTACCTGCGAATACAATTTAGGGAAAAGCCAACGAATAGAATAGTTTTTTTGTGACTTACTAAAATGGAATAATTTGCGAACCAAATATTTCAACTGTCCCAATCACATTGTGTGATGAGCCTTCACCATTCTGTATGATATCTTGGCACTTACGGGGTAGCCTGCAGCTCATTTTATTATACCCTGGGCGAAGTCAACACGGGGAATTGCATAGAACCTGCTCACTTTATTACACCGTGAGCGGGATGGTGGACAAAGACATCAAAGCCTAGACCCCTAGATCCTTGACCGGAGACGCTGATACATCTAGACCAGTGGTTCTCAAACTTTCTAAGTCACACCCTTTTCAGGATTTGTCAAGCCCCACCTCAAAAATAACCAGCTAACAATAGGCTACAAATAACAGATAGTAAGGTAAACGTATGTTTTATGCAAAAAAAAGGCGTTGCTTGAACGTGAATATCCGAAAAAATGTGAATATCTAAATAATGCGGGCAAGATCAAATCTAACAAATATTATCATTTTTAATTATAATTATAATTAAGTTATAGCTTCCCATCCCCTCAAAAAAGAAATTGACTAACCCCTCCTTGTGGAGGCGTGCTCCACTGTTTGAGAACCACTGACCTCAACGTTCCATTTTTCACTTACAGGTGTCGGTCAGTGTGATCGAAGCCCGACAACTTAGCGGCACAAACATGGATCCTGTAGTTCTAGTGCAAGTCGGGGATGACAAGAAATACACGTCAAAGAAAGAATCGACGAATTGTCCTTACTATAACGAAGTCTTTGTGTTCGACTACAACATCCCAAAGCAAACGTTGTTTGATAAAATGATCCAGTTGACGGTGAGACTAATAATAATATCAGTTAATTAATTCTCTAGAACAGTGAGTCTCCGTTTTTTTCAATATTATAAAAGACAAATTATGACTCCTGATTCACGATTCCAGGTTCTGCACTCTCGTAACATTGTTCGTAGTGGAACACTCGTTGGGACATTCAAAATGGACGTTGGAACTGTCTACGCCAACAATGACCATATGTTCTTCCACAAGTGGGCGGTATTAACCGACCCAGATGACTTGAACACCGGACCGAAAGGTTACTTGAAGGTAAGGGATTGAGTTGGAGTTGAAGTATAGAAATTTCCTTGGTTGCATGTAAGTCTTACACGCTTTCACCTCTAACGAATAACCTGTACTAGTTTCCACTTATATGTATGATGCTGCTATTTACGCAGGGATCAGAATTCTCTCGGTTTAGGGTTACCCATCAGATTTATTACATTTGTGTCTCTCGCAGTCCTAGGACCACTATATTCAAAACAGCCGATACCTTCCGCCTACGTGGTAGAGAAAGCCGTGAAATGTCACTGTTTACATGAACCATAGTGTAAGCATCAATTTCACACAAATTTATTCCTAACGTTTCGTCTGACCAACGGGTTCCACTGTTTTTGCACGTATTGGCAAGGTTTCTAGTGATTTTGACGGTTTTTCACTGTTTTTGCGCGTTTTTGCACGTTTTGACAGGTTTTTTCTAGTGCCAAAGTTGAGAAAATTTTTACGAACTGGTCACCTGTCAAATACAAACGATTTTTGTCAAACAAAATATTACAGAATAAAATTTGTGAAACGGGCGATGCATGATCTTTGATCCACTCATTACGATACAACCGTTCTACTGATCCAAGCAGACTAAGCATTCACTCTTATTTCAGGTCGATATCTCTGTCGTTGGGAAAGGAGACAGCATCAAGCTTCCTAAGTCTAACGATGACGAGGAAGATAACATTGAAGAGAAGTGAGTTGATTTTAATTTTCATAACTGGTTCTAAAAGTCACTAATTTATTGATATTTCAAATATTTCTGATTTTATTACTCCTACACATATGAAACTCGTAATTCGATCCTTTTTCAGTGATCTGCGTTCTTGGTTGTTTATTATATGTCTCATTCGTTTACTGTCAAGACTCAGATTTTGGCACTCCTGTAGTATGCGAACTACGGCAGTCACTTGGCTAGACCATAGACCTAAAATAGGAAAAATTAGAATAAAATAAAATGGCCTAACCCTAACCTGCTACACATATTTCGTTCCGGTGTCCGCCATCTTGGTTCACATTCTTCAGATTACCAAAATGTTTACGACAATTATTTTTCCGAGCACTTCAACAATGTACCACATAGCTGTTTCCTAATTTTCTTGAAATGATCCGAGTCTCACTTCAACCGGCATTTACTCGCGAGTAAATCACCACTATAATGCTAGTTCCAGTAGTCATTGGCATTTCAGGGGTTACCCGTAACTTTGCTCGGAGATGAGGCTCTCCTTCAGTGAATTAGTGTGACCTTTCTTTGAGCAAAAACAGTCTTAATTAAGCGTTTCCTAACCTAATATACTTTACCTCAGAAACATGCTCCTGCCCGAGGGAGTCCCAGCTGAACGGCAGAGGGCGAGGTTTATCTTCAAAGTCTACAGGGCGGAAGGTTTGCCCAAGATGAACACAAGAATGACTGAGAAGCTCAAGTCCATGCTACAGGGGGAGATGAGAGATCTGGTCGATCCGTACGTGGAAATATCGTTCTGTGGACAGAAGGTAAAGCACTTCCCCAACAATAGTAGGTTATCAATCTAACGATGGTCTGAATTGCTTTACAAAATTTTTTCTTATAAAATGTGTTGTTATATAATGTTAGAGTTTCGGGCAACTCGATACTCTCCTAACCAGAAAATATTGACTTTCCAAGAGGGGAAAGGGGCGCTCACATGTTCTAATTGCCAAGTTAGACCATAGCAGCCAGCGTCTTCGCGTCCACGGAGGATTAAAAACATGTCCACGATAAACAAAACATTTCAAAAAGGGATCGGAGTTTTCGACCCGCAAAATTACCTCCCCGAAATTACCTCCTGTACACTCTTTCCCTCCCTCCCTCCCCCAAACACAGTTCTTCACAGCGTTTCAGGAGGTTTTTCACGTTTTTACTCTGAACCAGACTCTAATATAACAACCACTGGTGCGTGGGTGCTTTGTTGGGACAAAATATACGGATGAATTTGTTCGCGGTTTGATCCTAACAATGCACTGCAAAAGTATGTCTTATATTAGGGAACTTCTATGTTAAAAAAACGCAATCTTTCCGTTTTGGCATCACCAATCCTGGATTTTAACTTTTTTAGCCCCGACCGGAGTCGCCTCCCTTTTGACCTTGTAAGAGATGACAACGTGGAACAGCCCTATATTTTCCCAATATATATATCTATAAGGAGCATGTTAAAAGATAATTTAGTTCGAGTCACGTCAATCGCATTCAGTCAAGAATATTTGTCACTACGGAAAATCCTCCATCACATCTTGAAAAGTAGAAAATTTTCCTCGTAGAATTTTCCATCGTGACAAACTTCAACCCTAACCTATATTAACATATTGTTATCCAAACTTGTATATGACGAAATATTTTCAGACTTGTTTTAAAATTTTATGTGCGGTTTTTCTATTATTTAAGCGGGTTTTCAAACAACGGTATACTTTGACATTTACGAGACTGCATTTATTATTGATCGACCAATTACATTAAACAACTATTTTGTATATTTGAAGTTCAAGGCCTTGCCGCAGAATATGAACACTTGACCAAGTATGGCTGAATGATAGAATGCGCCGCGAAGGCGCGTCCTACCAACGGCCATGCTTGGTAAAGCTTCCTAATCTTGAAAGCGTCCGAAATTAATTTGCGGTTCATGTTTTCGGTCTCGAGATGTCAAGTTCGGGCGACGAAACAAGTTCGCTAAAGTTCAAATAGTTAACTGATTGACCCAGATGATGAGTTCGTAATGGCTAGACCAGCGATCGGCAATCTGCGGCTACGAAACCGCATGCAGTTCTTCGATCTCGTCGATCTGGCTCCCGTGAATCCAAGTGGCTACAGAATTTTTTTGTTATATTCAATGGGAATTAAATGAAAGTCGAGGGCATAAAGTCGACTACTACCCACTAATTACACATATCATCAGTTAAAAGCCGGGAGCAGTAAAAATATGTCGCATTAAGATGAATCAAATCTGCCAAAACAAACTTTTTCATTTTCCAAGTTCTTTTCATTTCGTCGTAAACTGAAATAATGCACATTTTTATTTCATTTGGCTCCTTTTAAAGAGGAACTAGCTTATTGCATCATAAGCGGTTTACCGAGAGTTTTAATAGCCGCGGACATTAGAGTAGATGTTGCGTCTCCGAGTAAGTTTGGGTTCGACGAAAAGGATGGTGATAACTCTTCCAATGATAAAGGTTGCCAATACTAGTATTGGGTTATGTATTCTCATTTTTATATAATTTTTAGTTGATTTTGCACATCATTGGTTGGGGTGAAAACGGAGTAAATTTGTAAACAATGGTTACAAAACCGCGGCTTGCGGGTCAATTACGGCCCACTTAACGATTGAATAGGGCACGAACTCAAGCGAAATAGTTTATGTTTTTTCCTTTTGTGTTCTAGAATCTAGATGCCGCTAATTGTTACGTGATTATCATTGTTTGAGCATGTGTATTCGTAATAATTCAGTTCGGTATCTAACTACTTGGTAACTTAAATATACGAAGTTCTTACGAACCGTTATCGGTATCCGGTCCCTTGCGGGTGCCCTACGCTTCTGACCCATGAATATTCTTCAAATTCTAATTTTGGCCGCCGATCAATCGACTTTAGGAACCACCTGCCTAACAAGAACCTGAATACACCAAATTCATTTACACAGGGCTGCACTTCTGTTCGCAAACATTCGTACGAGCCATCTTGGAACGAAGAAGTAATTTTCACTGAGTTATTCCCTCCCCTCTCCAAACGAATCAAGGTCCAACTCAGGGACAAGGACAACATAAAGAACAGCGTCATTGGAACGACCTTTCTTGACCTTGATAAAATTTCAAATTCGGGAGATCGAGGTGAGCTTTTGACCCCGGAACACGGAAGTTCATATATTGTACTCGAAAAAGAGGCAAAATTTTGTTATGCTAATTGTATTATATTAAATTTATTTCATTATACATATATTTCCCCTGGTAGAAGCTTAATTGGACAAAATTTCATAAAAAAAAGTCTATGTTAGGGGGATTTATTCGAATATAGTAGCACTCACACGAGAGTAAATGAGACTTAACTGAGTAAATTTATGGGCAATCACCGAAATGACGAAAGCTAATGAATTGATATAGGGATTGGCACAAGTTTAAATCAATTTAAGTCAATACGGTCAGGAAAGTTACTTCAACTTTGTATAAAAATATCGGACAACTGTAGTCAGGTCTGTTTATCTATAAACATTTTTAACGCTTTTTAAAAATTGAAATTTATCAAAGCACCGGCGTATAAGCACTCACATAGACATCCCCGGAAACGAATGAAAATCGGAGATCTTCTGGTCGAGAGGAACCCGGGTAAAAGCCGGTGGCGTGAAGTAATATCACGTTGCTTAGTTATCACGCTATAACAATATACTTTATACCGGTGCCTAGAGCCATGTTTAGTGTAAATTAAATGCAATCAACTAACGAATAGAGTCATGTGCGGGGTGTAGGTGTCATCGGTCAAGTAACTAAACATCTTTTTATGCTTACTCGCCATAACCAATGGTGCACATGCATAATAAAGTGTGGTCTCCGTATAATAGTGGCTAAAGCTTTGCAACGAAGACAGCTTTCGCAAAAAAACTTTTTATATGCGAGTGGAATAGTTATACTGTTGCCCTTTATAACAAGAGGTCTCATTGATTGTACCATACAGGGTGTCCAGAAAGTTCCGCCCAATTTCATAGCATTACCAATTTCAAGTTTGAATATACAACCAGTATGATAAATGGTGACTACAACATTCAACATCTATAAATTCCAATTAGAAACAGGTCGACTATAAAAATAATTGAAAAAAAAAAAAAAACATTCGATTATGAAGACTTTATAATCGAGCGAAACTTTCTGAACGCCCTGTATATCGGTGGATGAATCCATGCGCATAGGTGTAAAACATTCGCAATCAGCTAACGAGAAATCTTCTTACCCATGCAGTTTAATCACACCGGAGATAGGAAAAATTCTTGCCGGAAAAAGATTGCTCAATATAGGCAATCAGGCTCTTCCGCTACCGGTGTTGAAAAAAAACTAGCACTATCGTTGACTGTTGTTTGATTTGGTTATCCTATTTTGCTATCTCTGTCCGATTAGAGATGTGAATACAGGTAGTCCATGCCCCTATAGTAGTGGCAGACCTAAGGCCGCCCTGGTAGAAGTTAACCAGCGTAGAAATGGGGGGGGGGGCATGGAGCCTACAATATTAAAAAAAAAAAACGAAGTAGTCAACTTGTCATAGCACATTTAACGCTTGCATATCTAACAACCACACAACGCCTATTGTGCACAGCTAAACCAAAGTTTCGAGGTGAGTAGTCGGATTGCGAAACTAACTTAGATGCAGAGATTAAAACCATACAGGAACCTGCGAAATGGTTACTATTCTAACTTTATAAAACGCGCTTGAATATTTTTATGACATCCGGCTGAATGTGTAGGACAATAACAATTCACATTTTTTTGTTGTTGCAGGTTTAGCTACTGGTATCACGTCTTGTTTCGTATTATCACGTCTCCCTTTTACATTATTTGGACACGAAACGAACTTATATATTGTTTTGTTAAATTCTTGTGGTTGTTATTGTTGTTGTGGGAATTCTTTATTATTTACAATAAACTACCAATTGATTCCCAGGCTGCCTCTTTTAATTTATTTTACGGATCCAATAATTCAACCTGATTTCGCTGTTTTTCTAAATTCACGTACAGATGTTTACATTCCATTAGGTACAATTCTTTCTACATTTGTCTGTATTTTTGCTGACACTGCGGTCGCATTATTGGTAATTTAACTTTCGTGCCCATTTATTTGAGCTTTTCTCTCATGCTTATTTCAGTATGAATGAATGCTTGTTCAAACCAGTGGTTCTCAACCGCCGGTCCGCGTCAACCTTCATACAGGTCCGCCAGATATATTCTCAATTGCAAAATGCAAGGCATTGATGCCCTGCTCATTTATTTTATTAGTTTCAACTTCTATTGATGCGTAAACCAAACTCGGTCAGAGGGCCTGCGCTCATTCTAAGCCCCGAATGACTGGATGTTTCGTTAAGTATATTACGTCATAACGCAGAACATCATAACTTCTTGCCATTGTCACAATTTTGGATATCGCTTGAAAAGAAAATCCTGACCTAAGTGACAAAGTATTAAATTACTGCTGATTTTTTGTACACAATATGTGTGAAAATTAGTTTTAAAATTTTACCGATTGACAAAAAAGGTAAAAAGGTTGGGAACTACTGGTTCAGAGCATTGATCATATCAGCTCTTGCTCAGACAAAAAAAAATAGAAACTATCCTTTTATTTTATAAAAAAGAAAAACATTTTTTTCACAACGATAGAAAAAAAAGCTAACAATTGGAACAACAACAACGAAACAATCCAAAGGTCCAATTCGTGCCCAACACTATACATACTATCCTCTTAATTTGATAAACTCTAACTATGATATTTTTTTTCTTTTATCGGGATTTCGTCGGATCAGTTCATTTCGGTAAAGTTTGTTGTTGTTCACGTGTGATTCCAATCATTGCACTCTCTATCTGTCTGTAATTGTAACCGCGAATGCAGAATCGTACTTTTATCACCATTCTTGGAGTCTATGTCGTAATTTTAGAATTCTATTTTTAAATTCGACAATTCTTTAATTTCCCGGAGTTTAGGTTTCAAGTTTCTCAATTTGAACTATATAGAACTTGTTAACACCAAAATCTTTGCTGTCAATATTTTTTATGCTGTAGTTGTATCAAGAGTCAAAATTTCTGTCGATCCGGAGTATAAATTAAAATCCGACTCTATTAATTCGTCAAACTTGTCTCTGCAGTCTTGTTTACAACTCCAATCTTTAAAAATTAATTTTATTATAAATCATTTATTAAAATATGGCCACTGGTAATCTACCAATATATCATATTTATTTTTGCCTCGAAACAATTTACAATGTCACACAGCCTTTATACTACAAGCGTTTATTAATTACAGATGCATGCTTTTTATGACTCAAGAATGATTCTTTAATTTACTGTATTCCATAACAATCACTATTGTTTCATCATACTAATCAAATCACAACAGCATGCATTTATAACCTATGGATTTGCCTGCTAACATGTTGGAATATACATTATTTTGTACAAAATTTGATATTTTGTTTTTATCTATGAATATGGATGTGTGACCCGAGAAATAAATTTAATTTCATTACAAGAACCCTCTTAAGTAACATGTCATGATGTTTATGTTTAGGTTGAAACACGAGCGACCGACCCTACATGACAATTTTTAATTGAACTAATTTTAGTACGAGAACCAAACAGTGTGAAACGCTTTACTAGACACCGGCCAAACCGTTTTTAAACACGAAGGGAAACATGTGAATCGATTTACTAAATTGTCGCTAGAAAAATTACTTTTCTGTGAGAGATACTTTTCAACTATATAAAAGGCATTCAATTTCAAATAATGATAATTAATGTCAGATAATATTTAATCATTTTACTTTCATATTTTTAATCTTCTCTTTATCACCAATTGCTGTAGGTTTTCTCCCAACGTTTGGACCGACCTATGTGAACTTGTACGGTAGCCCACGTAACTATACCGTAGTGAACGAGCATTCCGATCTCAATGCAGGACTCGGAGAAGGAGTCGCTTTCAGGTATTTATATTGTGCCCAGATCGGGTTAAAGGTCACAGGTTCAAACAAGAGTTGTGAAGTTTAGCATGGATTCTGCAATCAAAATTTTGAATTCCCCAGTCTAGAGGGCCGAAGTGGGACATTTTTCAGACTTTTCGTGTTAATAATCAAAGTCAAACTTTTGAGTTTAACAAGCTTTCTTAACATTCTATTGGAAAGCTGTGTATACGCCAGAGTTTTTTTTCGTTATATTATTTCTTTGAAAAGCCAAAGTCATAATAAAAAGTTTTTTCTAACCAAAAGTCGGGAGTTGATTGTAAATTTATGCAATTAGGTTTGGTGACGATGTTGAGCCGAAAAGATCCTCGTTATCCCATGGTATTTGTAGAAAGCTACGTATCGTTGGCTGCTTGTTTAGAGCATTTTTTAAGCAAAGATATGGAAACGCCTTATAAAAATACTTTTCGCATTCGTTTCCCCGAGCAATATCCCACCTTGTAGCATAAGCAGTACCTATAATGGTACAATCACATCTTAGCAACACGGAAATACCACCCTTCACTTCTTCTTCAGGGGCCGAATGTTGATCGGGTTGTCGGTCCAGCTTGTTGACATGAGCGCAGCAGATGGACAAGGATCCTCCGCTGTCGAGGTCGAGACGATTCCGCAACTGTCAGAGGTAAGACCTTGAAATAGCATGCCACTAATGTGCAGATGCATGAATAAAAAGGCTGCACATAACTTAAAAAAATACACGTCGAGCAACAGTTCGCCAAAATAGTTCACTTTCATCTTATGGCTCGGCTCTATGTTCATGGCCCTGACAAACTTTGAAAAACAAATAACAGTAATAAGTTGAGCCAACACTATTTTTAACTCCATTACTATTTTTAACTGTAATAATAATCTAGTTTTAGCGTTTTTTTGCACGACACAATTTACCAAGTGATTCAAATGTCCACTTATTCTTTGAAAATGAGTATTCGGTATTTTACTGGAGTGTATGAAGCACTACGATTACATTACCTTCAAGAAATATTAACATTATAATGTTTGTGCAGCTGATTGGCCCTTTCCTGACTTAGGGTGCTCATAATTTAGTACTCCAGGGCACCTTATTCAAAGTAAAATCAAACAACTTTCAGAATGCATTTCCCATTTTTACTGTTGATTAGTTAACCAATGAAATTCAAGACGATTGAACTAGTAGTTGGCGAAAAAACCAGTCTTTGCCTGAATGACATTTTGCTCTATCGATAAAAAAAAGATGAACGGGAAACAAATATTTCCCGAAACTATCTCCTGGTTGATTTGGAGATCAATAAATATGTCTTGGCCAAACTCTCCAGAGATTTACTATCGATTACATACAAGCACTGCTTTGATATTGTACTCAATACTAACAAACTATTATTTCTACCAACAGCTTGGCGCCGGCAGAATTGAAGATTTCTTTCTTTTCACTTCGATATTGGAAGCGAACATGGTCAGTCGAACTTTGCAGGATAAACAGATCTCTTTTGAATTAACTGTTGGTGAGTCGCTTATTGGCTTTCTTTCCTGTTTTAAATATGAAATCATATGTCGTCTTATTGGCGTAACTCCCCAAGGAGCAAACAAGAAAATTCCATCACTAAGCCGTGTTATCATTTTCCTCTCTTCAACATATTTACAGACAAATTATTGTGTTATCAAGTCGTCTCAACATCTTTATTCTTCCTGAGATAAATGTGAAAATCGAATCCGGCATGTCTTGTTACACACGTGTGATCACTTTGGCCCATTGGCCAGAGTATATTCGGCAATATTCGGGGAGGAAGCGCAAAATTATCCAATTCCGACATAGATATTGTCAAAGAATGATGACGTAATATATATCAGTGACGTCAATTACCGATCTCGACAATCCTTGGTTCCTTTATATCGATGTAGACAGTGTATTCGATTTGACAAAATAATTAAAAATGTCCACTAGTTTTTTTGTATTTTTGACTTAGTTGAATCTATATGTAACATCAGGTTGCTGTTTAAGGTATAAACTAAATTTAAAATAATAAATATATTCTACAGATAATAGACAATACAAGACTTGAAGCGACTCACTTTCAGGGTTCTAACAGATTAGAAGGGGAAAATATAATATATAATTGATGTCGCACTACCTTTCAGGCAACTTCGGCAACGTCATTGACGGTCAGAACCTCAGCAACAAGACTCGATCTAACGGTGACTCGGACGAGTCAGATGAAGAAACTACGTCACTACTAAAAGGAATCAAAACACAGGAAGACAAAGAGCCTGACGTCAGATCTATGACGTCACCAACGCTTCCTATCACCAAAGACAAAGACAAGTAGGAATTTATTATTATTTGCTATTACGACGACACATTGAAGAACACATTAGGTTGACTCAAAACAATAGTTTACTAAATCGTGTCGGGTTAGATTGTCATTGATAATGAGTGAATCGTGTTTCACTGTTGCTTGCTCTTTTGCCTCAAATAAAATTTCAGTAAATATAATTCATATAAATTCCGAATGTCCCTACAATAAACCGCCATTTTCCGACCTTGCCTATCCTCTATTTTCGTGAATCCTCGAACTGTCGCGAGGATATTCACATATTATGAACGTTTACGGCTCCATCCGCGTACTTATTAGCTGGTAAACTAATTCGATGTTTAACACGGACACGGCAACGCATGACAGGCCCATTGTAACCTAGAAAGAGCTTTGAGTTGATATATAGCAGGGGTGGGTAACTTCTCTAGTCGGCGGGCCAGGTTTGGAAAAATGAAGTCCTAGTCGGGCCGGATTATTACAAAAAATACTTCGGTATCCAATCTTTGTAAAATGTTCGACACTCTCTGTCAACTTTACGATTTTGGGATATTCCATGGTTAATAAAACTTTATATATATATTTATATTAAAAATCTAAATATAACCGATAAGAGTGATGGGGAATCTTTACAACGCTCTCTGCTTTGACCTTATATTGTTTGTTTAACAAGTGTGCTAACGCAATTGTTTGTTCACCAAGGCAATTGGGTGCTTCTGAAGTATGCGCACCAAGATGTCGCAGAACCTGAACCCTAACCTGGTACATAACCTGAGTTTAGGTTGTGCGCCATCTTGGTGCGCATATTTCAGGAGATCCGGCAATTGTTTATTTCACCAGCTCGCACTGACAGTGCGGTGAGGATAGAGCGATGGGCAACTTTCAAGAATAATGCGTCGGACCACATTACAGAGTGGGGTTGGATACAGTCAGCGGGCCCGTCAAAATCTTGCCCGCGGGCTGTATGTTGCCCACCCCTGATATATAGGGTGTTCAATTTTTTTAAATTGTAGAGGGATTTTTCCGATACCATAAACTTGTATTGTTCCTCACAGATGTATTAAATTAAGTAAAGTGAACTTCAATTACTGATTTAGAAAACAACAAATCTGGTGAAATATATTGAGATATATCTTTTTCTCTCTTTGTATAAATCTTACACTCTCTTATTTCACAGCTACTACTACCATCTACCCTTCCTGGAGCAGAAACCCTGTCTTTACATCACGAGTCAATGGCACGACCAGAAACGCAGAATGTACAATTCGAACATCATGCACAAGATTGCTGATAAACTGGTGAGGTTTTGGCATTGTTTGGCATTAGTAAAGCAGCATTGAATACAGGGTGTAATAAATTGAGTAAGCGATGATGTGAACCCGGAAAGATTCCAGTCCTCCCAAAACTAATAGCTCTTAACGTAGCCAATGGCTGTTTGAGGGTGGCGGTAGAGAAGCGCCTAAAAAGAGTTAGCCATTGCGGCATAGTATGTTACTTTCTGTTTAATTTAAGCATTTGTAGCTCCAGCAAAATAACGAACTTGAACCATATTTCAATTCAAATTCCGCCTTTTCATTACGTCGTGCTTAACTAGTTTTATTCCTCAGGACGAAGGCCTGCAAGACGTCCAGGAAATGCTGAAAACAGACCAAGACGCTCCTCATAGAAGACTGAGGGGCGTGGTCGAAGAACTAGCCAATGGGTGTGCGTCATACACTAGGCTTGTGAAAGGAACAGAATCTGGGGGCGGAGCTGCACTAGGAAGGACAAGGCTGGATAAAGAAAGAAATAAACTCTGCTTGAGAGAAATGGTACTGAACTTTACTTTTGAAGTAGTGAGCCAGATGGCGTATAGTGGCCCATGGTGGGCACGGTGGCCGGTTTGTTGAACTTGTTTATGTTGGCATCGTTAAATATCTCTGATCTCAAATCACCTCGCCCAAGGTAAAACAAATAGGATAAAATAGCTTTTCATGTATCAGTGGCCGCTTTGACAGGAATTTTTTTAAAGATGTAGTGTACGAGTATATTAATTTGTTATAGCTCATTTACGGGACTAATTATTAAAAAACAGCTATCTTAAGGTCGGTGTCATTTTGGTAAGACGGTTTTTTATTCATACATCCACTCAGAACAAGGCTCTCTACAAGCTGCCATTTACCACGTAAGAAGTTACAATTTTCGGGCTCGCCACACGTCTACCAACTCAATGAATATAATGCAATAATACTTAGGGTCACGGCCCTTCCGAAATATATCAGTGATTTATCACACGAAGCCGTATTCGAAGTGAAGATACCTGGTGAAAAATGAGCTTATGTCAAATTTATTTAATGATCTTATTCGTATTTATTCGATTACTCGCATTTTTGCTCTCAACTTACACACTTCCATGTATACGGAGCTGCTATTTTTGGGCGCATGCCCGCCATATTAAGAGCGAATTCGCCTAGCAAAAATTAAGCTAGCCCCTCTACTGAATAACCGCCCCATATGTAGCGATTCATTTAAATGATTATCTGTAATTTCAATCAACTTTACACGCGCTCGCATTTTGGCATGACAATATAACCAATCAAGCGTGTAAGAGTGGTTTGAGCGTTAGTCCTATGTTGGGGCGGTGGGTGAAAATCCTTTCCTATAATAACTGTAATGAGTCACTGATAAGTCATGGATATGACATGGCTTGTACAGAACCATAGTGAAGGCGTGTTGGCTACAAAATGGCTCTTCCGCTTTATTCTTTGTTTTATTCGCATTTTACATGATTACTTGTGACTTTTCATATTTTTCCAGGACAACATCACGACTGAAGCCCGCAAGATCAGGAAACAAATCAAACCTTCAACGATGAAGGACAAACACGCAAGAGTCAAGATTTTGCTAAACCGGATAAAATTTCTGGCTGATGATGTAAGTCAACGCTGCCCAACACGCAGACCTCAGAGTTAGGCTTGCGTCATCATTTATCAAAGAATCTAAAGCAACTGAGTCGTCTAAATGAAATATACCCAACTAACATTTCATGAGATGCAACTCGGTGATTAGCTCGACTCGAATGTGCCGTGACTCTGAGTTTGGGAACTTTTTTACTCAACATCGACACAACAAAGTACCCGTTAGAGCTGACATGAGCCAAATCCGGCCCGCCTGATGCTGCTACAACTAATCTAAAATCAAATTTCGACGTTTTAGCTAAAAATAGCTCAACGAATTTGTTGAGATTAAATATAGTTTTGGCACGAGGTCTATTGTTTTCCACGTTTGCTTTTGTAACACTGTAAATATTGTTCGTGAAATGTAATCTTTTACGTCACATTCAGTAATGAGATTCAGCCGGGTTGCACCGGTTCTATAGAACCGTCTCGCGGAATTTTATGAGATCAGCGAACCGGTTAGCATTACTGAAAAAAACCTGACTTTTGTAACAGAACCGGCTGAAAAATATGACTTTTGTGATGGAACCGGCTGACAAAATATTTGAATCCCACCACTGGTCACCTTCACATGGCCCGCCAGTCCAGGTGGGCAAAATATTTGGCCCCTGGTTCGAAAACCTTGCCACCTCTGCCTTAGACTAAACTCAGTGATTGACTCGGCCCGAGACACCAACTATCAAAGACACGAGTCATCTAAATTATAAATAAGGTGATTCGGATTCGTCGCCACCTAACCACCAATGAGACCTAACCTAGTGATTGACCTAAATTCGAGATTAAATGACCCGCAATTCGGGGTCACGTCTACCAACACTGATAAAGTCCTTTCCCATTTCAGCCACAATCCAGCGTTCCAGATGTTTTCCTTTGGATGATCTGTGGAATGAAGAGAGTCGCGTACGCCAGGATACCTGCGAGGAAGATCCTGTACTCCATAAGAGAAGAGGAATCGGGCCAGCATTGCGGGAAAGTGCAGACTGTGTTCCTTAGGGTGAGTTGGGATACTATTTGCAACTACAAAGCTTGAAATTATTAAACACTAATAGATTTTAAATAGCAAGATTAAATCGGGAATATTGGGAAAATATTACTTATGGATTACTATTTGCTAAATAGTTAAAGGAAGGTTCTGTAATAAATAGGACAAAAGGAAAAGTCCTAAAATCGTGGTATGGTACAATGTTTATCAGCGAATTCAATATTGGATGATAATGTTGAATGCAAATTACCTTGGTATAGTACTTTTTCGAAACCAACAGCGGTTAACTGGTTGATTTGTCAGTTAAATGGTGGAAGCATTTCATTGCAAATCTAGCAGCAATACCTCGATATAAAACTTCATAAACTAGTCTACAAAGTAACACAAGGTTCATTCATTTAATCTTTTTATTATTTATCAGGCATTTACGTTGCCCCACAATCAAGATTAGTGTCGCCATTTATTTTTTAGTAGCTTTTGCATATGTTACTGACAGTTCACAACTTATAACAATTTTGAGGCATTTACTGTGTTCAGTAAGCTAAGCCTTAGAAAAGACCAATTGTAAATAACATAACTAATTCTATTATGAAAGATTCATGACTTTATATAAATATTTTCAAGGGGGCCCGAAGCACTGAAACGTTGCAAGAGACTATAGAGTTATAGATGTAGTGATGCTTTAGTCAGAAGGCAATGGATCCACCAAAGCAATCCCATTCATAATGAAAGATCCCACAGCGAGTCTTCCATCGCTAAGTTCAGATATTTCTGTGATCGCTCTCGACAGTTTCCCTTCCAAGTCATAGTGAATGCTTACAGGCTCAAAGTTCTCATCCAACTTCACGGCTATTCCTTGGTTTAAATCCACCCATCCTAGAATTCCGAGTTCGCCTAGAATGGTTGCAAGTATGTTACGAATCACAGGGTGCCACGTAGCGAAATGTCCTGGCTCGGGCATATAAGGAATTGACACCCAATACCCCCTATCTTTTCTTCTACGTACGTTATCTGGTCCACCAGGCAGCAAAACGTGTCGCACAACCACCCCCGATTTGAGACTTATCACTGCAAGGCGGCGCCGATTGTGCTCGGCCACAATAGCATGAGTTTCAGTGCGGTCGAGCTCGATTCCATTTGTGTGACATAAACCATTTCGCACTAGTTCCGTACGTTTTGTTTCCACATCAACTTTGAAAAGCCTCCCACTGCATTCCGCTTCCAGAGCAAAGAGGGCGAGTTCCTCATAAGACCATTTCAAACTCATATCGGTGAAATATATCGTTTTACCATCTGATGTGATGGTTAAGTCATCTGCGAATACTAGTGATGGAGTGACGTCATAATAGCGTACGATGACGTCATAACTTTCCGATTTTAAATCGATCATAATCACTCCCTGGTAGGCATCTGCGAAATATAACTTCGACCCATGTAGGCGAATACCGAGAGGACGTTTCTTGCGTCGTTTGCTTCCTTTTGCATAGTCGAACGATTTCGTTAAGTCGGTAACGGTTTGGTCTTTATTACCGGGATTCGTGATTTTGACAATGCGTCCATCAGCGAGTGCTGTGTACAAGTTATCATGCTCGTCTATCGCAAGGGATTCAGGTCCAATCAGTTCAGGTAGAATTCGTACTCCGCGTTGCAAATCTTTATTCTCAACTTGCGCCCATTCAAACTGTCGAATGTCGTGTATACTGCTAATGGAAACAGCAGAAATCGGAGACCTTGCATAGGAGATGCATAGGAAGACTGCGAGTAATAAAACGAATACAAAAACAACTTTCAGAAACGATTGACAAGCACTCGTACTCTTTTCCGTATCAGAGAACCCTGCCCTCACATCAGTTGTAGTTGATTTACTCGGCGGCCCGCGTTTACGAAGTCCCTGTTCTCGCTGCATTCTTACGCTGTTACAATCTCAATTTGCCGACTTTTCAAAATATTTTTTGCCTCGACGCTCGAAGCAACTAACCGCGACCGGGTTTTTCGCCTTATCGGGTCTGTGCATATTTCTAGTCTGGCCCTGTCGTGTTCCGCGCATTATCGGTTCTCTCTCACGTATACCGACATTTGACGTAGTAATTTCAGTCGGTTTGTATAAAGAAAAGACGGCTGCGTGTTTGCCGCAGTTGACTGAGCATAACAAATTTTGTTTAAAAATATTAAAAAAAGGCTTCAGGCAATGCGCTTTGAGATGAACTTGCAGCAAGAATTGAACAATTTATCTTACTTAACGTCATTTTATAATATAATATAGTTGCCCTGACGTAGCCCACAGGCAAAAACACCAATTATAATCTTAAATTTTCTATTCCGCTTATGTTCAGTGACCTAATTCGGTATTTCTCGCATGTTGTCAGCAGATACGCATGTCCACTGTATAATTCAGGGGCGCAGGATCTGCATTCTCTGGTTGCCTAAAGCGAAAGAGAATACCAAATGTTCGGTCAAAAATCTTAGCTCGTAATTCACATCTATTATTGGGGACGAAGTGGATTGTTTTGGTATTATGTTGTTGTTGATCATCTTGTTGGTATTTGTCCTTTTTGTCGCTACTATATGGAAAAATTATTTCCTTCTTTAACTACTGGACCCATTGCTTTAAAATTTTCAGTGTTACAGAATGTATTTTTGCTAGAAGGTTATAACTTTTATCTATTTCAAAATTTCTTACTCGTTTTTCGGTTCCACCTTCTTGTGGCCCGCGAAGTCGTGAACAACGCGATACTGGTAGGCTACTGTGACTAACTGCATACCCGTACCATTTCGTGCCCATATATTTGAGCATCGCTCTCTTGTTCTATATAACTTCACTATCTCTTGATATTTCATTAAATCAATGTTTATGTAGATTTATTTTTAATAAATTTCCTTCTATACCAGGCTACCGGTACCCTCATTCGGATCTCTTTTTTTTCTCGAAAGAACTATGAAAATTGTTCTAATAACAAGCAAATATTTAGAATTCTCATTTATGCAATATTGTGTTTCTTAGTCTGCCCTATACGTTACCGGTAACTTTTTCAGCAAAAAATATAATATTTATAATGCGTAATGTACTTACAGAACACTGAAACGTGTTCAACCTAATAGGTGAATGTTTCCTATTATTCTTACTTATGTATTGAATTCCTTTATCAGATATTTTGTACAAAGCACCCGCCATCGCTCCAGATAAGTAATTAATGATTATTCAGTTAGGGTTAGGATTACGCTCGAAATTAAAATTTTCAAATCATTTCTAACTTTAACTGGATAAAAAGTAATTGGGTATTTTTAAGGATGGCGAGGGTGCTTTTCTCAAATCTCACATTTTTGCATTAGCGGCGATGGCTTTGTGTACAAAAAATCTCCATTATCTGTGCTACGGGTACCCTGTTTCCAGAAAGTAATGTTTGTAATTACCTCTCATGTAATGACTTTCCGGGTCTGCTCTACGCTACATGTATTCTTATCCAAAACGCGTTCTGAACACTGAAAACAGTTTCTACAACTATGTAACCACCCGCCAATTGCATAAATCCTTTAATATTAAAACAAAAACGCTGCGAATGCATCCCAGTCAGACAGGGATATGCTACTAACCGACCCTGAACCGGAGAAGTACGGACTATTACGAAAGAATACCCGATAGAAACTCTTGGTTTTGATTATTGCGTCATAGTATGCCTAATTCTGACTGTTATCTTATGCTTTGTTGGGAAGACAGTTGCCAGATTCCAGATATTCCCAACTACTGCTGCGTATAATGCATGAGATTTGCGTATACCAGACTTTCATTTAACAAAACATCAACCGTTCTCGAACAGTATACACATATTGAAGCGACCGGAAAAAAATAGAAATATCAGTGATGTAGGACTCAGTATGAAACATCGTTGCCAGAAAAAAACAATAGCTGGAACTCTATAAATTAGGAGTCGGAGTCGAACCCCCCCCCCTTTTGAATTTTTTCGCCGATAACGCGTGCAATTGCTTTCTGCTAAAATCGCCGTATGTTTTCATCAAGGCGGCGTGTTATTTAGGCCGTAAACGCCTTCTCGTTGGTATTTATTCGCTCTAAATCACAAATTTGTGTCACGGGAACCATTATAATTATTTTATTTTTGTACTTGCATGGAATTGTGAAAACTGAAAAAGCGTGTAATTGCCTTCTGCTAAAATCGCCGATTGTTTTCATCAGTGTATTATTTAGGCCGTAAACGCCTTTACGTCGGCATTTATTCTCTATAAATCACAAATTTGTGCCACGATAAACATGATGATTATTTTATTTTCGTACTTTGCAAGAAATTGTCAATTTGGTGAGAGTTATTATACGTTCATCGGCGGCGAGGTTCTAAAGACAAATGACGGAGTAAACCAGCGACTGAAAATCGACAAATAAAATACTGAAAACAAAACCGTAAACAATAGGCTATAAGATTTGTTGAGTCCCGCGACAGTCTAAAAACGCTTTTGAAAATCGTAAAATTTCGTGTGCCCAAGGCACACATTATGTTTCCTCGCTGTTTAGGGACATACGACCATTAAAATCGAAACACGGTTAAATGTGGGTGGGATCCATTACTTTAAAATTGTCGTCGAAAATTTCAGTGTTATCATTAAACAAGGTTGAAAACGCGATTTTTTTCCCAGTTAGTGATGATATATAAGATAATTAATCTGAAGTATATCCATCAATTTTTATTCTACTGAAATAAATTTTACTCCATGAGAATTTACAGCAGATTTACGGATTTTTCGAAAGCTTTTATCTTTAAAAATAATCGGAGTGGCAGCATTGCGATTCAACGGAGTCAATGTTACAAGCACATCTCCAATTTGTCGAATTCGCAAAATAGAAAAAATACGGATCAAAACAATGTATAATAGGGCAGTTTACCACACATTTTTATGCGGAATTCCGTGGTGTTTTAGAGTGGCTCTTGTTTTGTCGGCGCAACCGCAGGTTAAATTGAAGACAATTAAATTAATAAAGCAGGACATTTTAAATATGCCCTTATCGGTCATGGATTGGTTACCTTGCGCAAAAGAAAAATCATTTTTCGTTAGAAAAGTCGGCTCTTTTAACAAGTGACGTAATCGCGGCGACTGTTCGGCGTGGATTTCGAGGCGATGAATTTGTGTTTTTGATTTACTGGTATACTTTATATATCTATTTTCATTGTATGAAGTAAAATTGTAATAAACGTGATTTTATATCAGATATCGAGATTTTACTAACGGCGATAACGAGGTCACAAGATTGCAAAAATACGTATAAAAATTGAATATATCAGGCAGCTTATCTCATTGTTTTATGTCCACGGCAGTAATGTTTTTATTTTGACGTAGAAAGTCGAGACCGCGAGTTGCGTTGGGGACAATAAAATTAATATATACGTAAGGACATTTTAGAATCTCGTAGTTGTCATGAATTGAATATTTTACGCGACAGAAGCTGAAAATGCGGCTCTATTAACGAGCGTGTGATCGCGTTGACGGTTACAGACGGCATTAGTAATTTCCGATTTTCCCCCCCTTTAAAAATCCTGGCTGCGCGCCTGAGTGTATGTATGGTGCATCTGAAGTAATTTTTAAGATTGTCCCCTAAAATCAATGTCCTATCTATACATTGGCTGAAAATAGATCTTGACTCTGTCATCAGAGTTAGTCTTAGCGGGAATCGAATTATTTCCGAGCTACTAACATAAACAAAGAGACATCTGCCATATACCTTGCCAACATTTTCTGGTCTGTCCAAAGCAAATTAAACGTGTAGTATAATGATCATATATTTCGACGTCATAAGTTTTATTTATAATTTGAAGATTGAAATGAACTTTCATGAAACAAAGAAAGATTAAAATAATGATTTAATAAAGTAGAGTGTACTATTGCTTCTTCATGACCTTCGTGTTAGGGGATCCATATGCACTGACTGTAAGTATATTGTAGAACTTTTTAAAATGATTGTGCTGAATGATTCAAAACTATGCCATCCATCGATAATCAAATTTGTTAAAAAGGCATGCCAGATTCTGATGCAGTCATAAAATCATATAATTTAACATTTTTATGGTTTAGTCCATTTCATGGTTCAAGCCCAATATGAGGAATTCTTATGAATGTCAGCTATAATTAATGTATTATGCTTGACTGGAAATATCAGTCAGAAGGCAGAGGGTCCACTAACGGAATTCCTTTGACAACGAACGATGCCACAGCGAGTCTTCCATCGCTAAGTTCAGATATTTCTGTTATCGCCTTCGACAGTTTTCCTTCCAAATCATAGTGGATGCTTACAGGCTCAAATTTCTCATCCAACTTCACGGCTATTCCTTGATTTAAGTTGAACAAACTAATAACACCTTGTCCTCCTAAAGCCCCTGCAATCATGTTGCGATGCACCGGGTTCCATGTCGTGAAATGTCCCGGTTCAGGTAAATAAACGATCGACACCCAATACCCGCCATTCTTCCTTCTACGAATATTATCTGGTCCACCAGGTAGTAAAACATGTCGCACAACCTTCCCGGATGTCGTGTCAACGATGGCAATACGGCGACGATTGTGCTCGGCCACAAGGACTTTGCTATCGTCCCGATCAATTTCAATGCCGTTAGGGTGACATAAACCATTTCGCACTAGTTCTGCACGTTTTGTCTCCACATCAACTTTGAAAAGCCTTCCACTGCATTCTCCTTCCAGAGTAAAAAGGGCGATTTCCTCATAAGCCCATTTCAAACTCATATCGGTGAAATATATCGTTTTGCCATCTGACGTGACGGTTAGATCATCTGGGAATACTAGTTGTGGCGTGACGTCATCGTAGCGCAAAATGACGTCAAAACTTTTAGATTTTAAATCGATCATAATCACACCCTGGTAGGCATCTACGAAATATAGCTTCGACCCATGTAGGCGAATACCGAGAGGACGTTTCATGCTTCGTTTGCTTCCTTTTGCATAGTCGAACGATTTTGTTAAGTCGGTGATGTTTTCATTTTCCTTCCCAGGATTTTCTATTTTGACAACTCGTCCATCTTCTAGACCTGTATAAAGATTATCGTCACTGTCTACAGCAATAGATTCAGGTCCCAGTAAGTCAGGCGCTATGATTTCACCAAGTTGCAAGTCTTTATTCTCAACTTGTGCCCATTTAAATTGCCGTATATCGTGTATACCGCTGATATCCACCGCTTCAATTGGCGACTTCTTAACATAGACGACGGTTAAAGCGCTTCCAATTGCCAAACCAATTCCAACCAGAAGAAACAGAAACAGCTTAGAATATCCATCCTCGCCCGACATTTTAAGTTTCAGCGGGTATTCGAATTAGCAAGGGAAATTTTTTTTAAGGCCTAATGCAGAATAAGCAATGCCATAATGTATTTATCAACAAGCATATTTAACCTCCGAAAAGTCGTGACCGGATTACGTTTTGACCTTCTGTGTGTTGTCATGCATCATTATTAAATGCAAACTAATTAAAAAAACCTAAAAGTTTATGGAACATAATGACGTGCAACGTACGTGCGATTTATGGGCGAAATGTCACAACAGACTCGGAATGTAACACTATATTTACGATCAACGAAACTTAAACGGGCACTCATGTTACATCGATAGTTGATTTGAAAATTTCGAGTACACACAAACTAACGATATAGAATTCTAGAATACAAGCAAAACTTTTGAAAAAGGTATAACATGAAAAATATCATACGTGCGCTCGTCAATACACAAAACACATGGAATGTGGCATTTTCTGTTTTGTTATTCAAACTTGCTATTTTATCGATGAGGATTTGCTTATTAACTTATTGAATAACTGTTTATTAACCATGGCGATACAAATTATTTGGCAGTATTATATCCATCTGTTTAGCTTGAAAATATTCTGTCAATTCCTTGTATACAAACGTTTTATACAATATAGCCCTTGTTATTTCACGACTCCGAAAGGTCAAAATCTTGAAGATTTATGATTTTCATACCCGCCAAATTAATTTTATAATTTAAACTTTGAAAAGGCTTTCTGTATTTGTCTGAGAACTAAAATCGATCAAAAGTCTAGCCATCGATAGCCCAAGTTCAACGAGAAATGCATTATCACGTTTTTGGTTTCCATCGCAAACGCATCATTACGTATTTATAATTGCACGAAATGAATAAAATATTGACCTATATTTTCTGACTTCATTTGTCGTGTATTGTCCTGCGTAATACAGTCTTTCTTACATGCTCATGCAGGATTTTTAATGCAATTTTGCGGCATTTACAGTGAGACATAAATTCAACACCACTTTACTTACGATTTTCTGAAAACTGACTTTTCCTGGCTTGCTATCAATAATCATTTCACCAAATGAACCAACCGAGATAGAGGAAAATGCGCGCTTGTATACTTTTTTGGATAACTTCGACAGCAAAGTAAGTCTATAGAGAGATTCTTTGAGTTATTGTTAGATGTCAATGCCTGCTTTAATCTGTTTATGAACAGAGGAGCAACAGCATTAGTAAGCGTTTTATTACCTCATAATAAAAAATAAAAAAAAATTGCTAAATTTTCTAAAAAAAATTTTGGAGGAAGTATTGATGAAAAGTCAAAAAACGTTGAGGTATCGGTAGTTTGTTTCACTGAAAATTGTGACCTAATATTATATCAATAATTATTATTCTGTTTTCTTTCAGTTCCCAGGCCGTCGCAGCATCGGTCCGGGTGGTTGGAGCATTCAGGCAAAGTTGGAGATGTACATGTGGTTAGGATTGGCCAAACATAAGCGAGACTACTTGAAAGGTCTACCTGAGGGCTTCGAGCAAACCAGACCTTTTGGACTAAAGTCACCCCCGACATACATCACGTATAAAGGTTTGTTTGTTGAAAAAATTTGCATTGCGGATTCGGTAAAGACTTTGTATTAGAATGCACCTCGATATTTTTCAAGAGACGTTTTCATATTTTCACATTTGTGTTGTCTTGCTCAAAACTCACTCAGAGAAATCTCAACTCTGAGCAAAGTTACGGGCAACCAATGAAATACCAGGAGCTACTCAGACTATCTTATCTTTGAGCCAAGTTATGGGCAACCCTTGAAACGCCTGGAGCTACTGAAATTATAGAAAATTATATTTTTATATGTATGTATGTATTACGCGAACTTACTCAGAATCAAAAAAGACCTATTTTTTAGTGAAGTTACGCCCACTGCACTTACGAGATGCAGAGAGATGAAATCATACTGAACAATATAGAATTATGGTGGCACGGTCTATGCAAATACTTCCAGGGAAAGCTATGGAGTAGTGATTTTCACGTAACTTGATATGCTTCCACTAATTCAGGCTTCATTTACTTTTTCAGAAAAACAGGTTTTCCAGCTTCGTTGCCACATCTACATGGCTCGAGGTCTGATCGCCGCCGATGACTCCGGTCTTTCCGATCCTTATGCAAAAGTCATCTTTGCTACGTGCACTTCCACCACTCAGGTAGGTTGTTCTTTTGTTCATTTATCATTTCATGTGTCTTTGCCATTCAACAGGCAACAACAAATATCGATGTTCACCCGACCTTTGACCCCCGGAAAATTCTTCCTATATTTTGCCATTGCAAGGAAGTCGTTCTCCAGGAATCATTCATTGCATGTGCGTGTGTGTATTTTCCCCCTGACTGAGTATTCTGCATTATCGCAAATATGATATTTATCTCAGACTAACACAGGGTGGTTCACCTAACTCTCATGTTGGTCACGGCTATCTCCGCATCCATGTAGCACTTTTATGCCTAATGTTTTAAACCCCTTTTAAAGTTTTGACAACTTCATAAATATCCGTTCTGTGTGTTTGCACTGTGTGTTGAATTGTCCTCAGTTCGGCAGAATTTAAATTGAATTATCTGCCTTATCTAGAAAATTGTTGATAATTTCCAACAGGTGATGGAGGAGACTCTCAACCCGACCTGGGACCAAACCCTCGTTATGGAGGATGTGACGTTGTACGGGCGAGCAGAGGAACTGAGGGATGATCCGCCTGTGATTATCATTGAGATATTTGACAGAGATGTCGTGGTGAGTAGGCTCATATGTATAGTAAGTACATGCTGTAATGAGGATGCTATTCTCCCTGTTTACCGGTGTCTTGAACCCTTGTTCATAGTGAAAGTAGTAGATGCGTCAGATAAAAATTTACAACTGATAAGTTTGCGCTCATAAAATCGGAGGAACTTTAACCAATGTGGATCAGGCAATCTGTGGCGAACCGGAAATATGGTAGTGACCGTTTCAGTGGTTGCCTGTGTGAAAACGTCGAGATCATTATTTTATTGATTTAACACCCAATGACCGGAAAATTCTGACCCACCTGACATCCCTTCTATGATGTACAAGTTAGTCCAACATTGATGTGTTTAGAGTTTCATGGTTTCTCGCGACAATGCTCAGAGATAAATCTCCTTTACTTTTGAGTGAGTGACATAATGCACCACCATAATTATATTTATCGATTTTAATCGGTAAGTATGTTGATAGGTATTTGTCTTGATTGATGATGCACGCGATATCTCACGAAAGCAAGATTGAATATTGATCTGATTTTGCATGTGCATTCATCATATCTCGGACCAGAAGCCTATTGATTTTGGAGAATTATGTCGTATAATTAGCGAGTTATTGATTAATTAGTGATGGGACACATGGTGTCACTATGCAGTAAGAGCGCTGTTTTGGGGGTTCCCTAACTTGCGATCGATAAGTCTTCGGTCTCTGACCGATATTATCGTATTTAGTTTTAATAGCTTTTGTCATTTCAGTGATTGCACTAACTGACAACCTAACTCAGCTCAGTATGATTCTCATTTAGTTATGAGTGAAAACATCACCATAATCCTATATAGTTTCATTAGTTATTGGCAACCCAATGACTTTGATTAAAAAACTGCGTTTTAATTTCTATCCAGGGTAACAACGAGTACATTGGTCGCACAATGGCGAAACCTCTCGTTAAAATGAGTTGGGAGAAATATGAGAAGAAGTTTCCTCCTCAGCTAGATTGGTATCAGATCTATCGGGGAAGCACTAGAGCAGGAGAACTACTGGCATCCTTTGAACTGTTGCAGGTTTGTGTGCTTATAACTACTATGTACTGTTATAGTCGGCTGTGACTTACTGTCTGTCCACTCTATCAGAAAAAAAAGAATCCCGCCTAAATTCTTTTCAAGAACTTCAGTTATGTGAAGTTTGCTTTCCCATAACTGATTTTATTTCATAGGATTAAAGTGAACCCAATAATTCATTCGATGATTCAAAAATTAGCGTTCAGCTATCATATTATTTTAATATACGCTATCCCAGCTATCCCCCTACCCAACGACAGCACCGGGGTCGGAAATTTAAAAAAAAAATAAGGGGGGGGGGGGGAATCTGAAATTTCTAATTGCCAAGTTAGGCCTTCAAAGCTAGTAATCTAACATGGTACCCGGGAAACGTGGATATTCAAGAGTGTTAAGGATTTACTATGCGTTCGAATATACGAAAAATTGCTATGTAGGTTCCATTACATTTGAACCCACGTACATTTGAACCCGCGATAATTGCACCTGCATACTATTGCATCTCTGGGAATTTTTTTGTTTTACGGATATTTGAAGCCATGGGTTTTAGCACCCGCATATAGATTGAACACGCGAATATACACATGGGTTCAAATGTACGTGGGTTCAAATGTACAGTCACCGTACAATACAGAAAAATGATTTTTCATTCACATTTTGAAAAAGGGGGTTCCGACCTTTAACCCGCTTTAGTTAGGCTCTTGGTCAACCCTAAACTTCCTTCAAAATTATTGACAAACCTACCAAAAATCATTTTATGTAAAAAAAAAGTATTTGTTGCCAACGAGAGCAGACTATCTTGCTTTGAGTCTACGAACAGTTAAAACAAGCGCTACCATATTCTCAGATTTTTTAAATTCCTAATCTTTTTTCATCGATCTGTATATGTATCTAATTATTTATGAGGTATCCAATCATCGTTTTCGTGAAGGTTACCGGAATGTCGGGGTTGTGTTTAACTGAATGAAAAATAGATGATAATCGCTAGGTGGCGTTGTCGACGTGTGCAACATTCGCATACGAATCGGCATGGCAACATCATATCGGTTGAAATGTCAACTCTCAGATTTATCACCGAAACTTTCAAGAGAAACTGTTTCCGAGAGTTATAGATGTTCCCCGGATTTTCAACACGAGATAAAATATTCATTGAATATTAGTTACTTATATGTTTGATTGTGTGTGTTCGGTTTGGAATAAAACTCGGAATGTTTGAAAAATAAAACTCGGGTATTCCCATTCTGCCACCTTATGCACCTTTCTGTTGAAAAGTTACGATGTAGCTGTACTGCAGTAAGTATAACACAGTTTATAGATAAAAAAAAATTGTGAATGCTTTGTGGGACGTTTGTATGCACCTGATCAAAATTCATATGACAGGTTATTTTTTGTGCTTTATATAATTTTTATAAAAATAAATACTTTTCTAAATTATCTGAAAAACAAAATAATTTTTATTTTATGGAATGCAATCGTCTCCCTAGATGCCCTTCGACGAGCAAGAGCGCCGCCAAGTGTTGTGGAGATCTTGGTGTGAAATGAACGACAATTCGAAAAACAAGATCTCCTTGTTTCAGGTTATTGTGACGTTGTCGTCACGCATGATCGCATGTTATACTTGAGTGAATTTGTTCTGTCTTCACGTGAATGTAGAGAATGCACATTCATGCACAGATTGTACAGTTTGTACAGATTCTTAACTTTAGCTTTCACGCAAACACGCAAATTAAAAAAAAGCCTTAATTTCAACGCTCCAATAAAATTTAAATTAATTTTTCAAAATCTTGAATTAAAGAATTTCTTTTTCAAAATTTAACCCATACTGCTAAATAAGTTCAATTATCTGTCAATTCAGTTTTTTCAAACGAGGAAAGAAAGTAATATTAACCACCCAAGAAGTGCTAATAAAAATGCCTCATATAATGGGTATTCGAAAGCTTCTTTCACTCACTAATCTGTTTCTTTCCTGTTTTACTTATTTATTTCAAATCGACCCAAAACCTCTTAATACACCCAATATACTTTTCTATTCAATAAGAAATGAAAAGCATTTTAATATTAAGCCTTGTTCGAACAGACCTTGGTTAAGTTTCGTAAAGTTTAGATTGAAGCGAATGGGCATCCTGCAATCCTAAAATTTTAAGCTGATTTGTCATCACATCAGGTAGCTTTTCACCCACTGAATCTCAAAATGGTTTGTTGAAATATTTCCAAATTTCTCACTAATAATTTCAAAGAAAACATTACATATTAAGTTCAATTTTAATGCTCAATAGATGTGAGATGAAAAATATTCATTGCAAGACATTCTCGAATAATTGCTCAGCCACATGGCGATCTCACAAAATGCTCTAGTTTGTTTAATTGCTTTCTGAATTCTTACTAAAAATTCGAGCGAATTTTTGCAAATTTTGTTCAAAGATCTTTGTCTGATGAGCTGATGAGTTGCATCATATACCCAAATAATTGCAATTTAAACGCAAACTAAATTCATACAGGATGTTCACATGAAGGCTCTTTCACAATTTAAAAAAAATTATTACGAAAGGACCTATAATTTAATATAAACTAGTAAACCAAAAAAAGCTTTATGGTGTGTGTTTTCTCGTTCCAAAAGATGACCCCTAAGTTGATGGCGATCCTTTCTTAACCAAATAATGATTTCTTCCTCATTTTTCATTTCCCCACGTTTTCGAAGTCACTTTATCTGATTTTTTTATTTATTTTTATAAATTTTCTTGTTCCAAATAATCGTACTAATGAAACAGTCATGCTCTCTGTGTGTTATAGTCTGTGTATCAGTGTTATATAGAGCCACGCTGTTATTTAAAAGTGTTTTCTTTGTCGGTCTGAGTTTAAATTGGTAGATGAATTATTTGTTTCAGCTCATCACAAGCCCACGAGAGCTCGAAAATAAATTTAGTATATTGTATAATCTATAATGGTCTATATGTACCATTTTTCCCAAAACCAAAGTAACGATATCCTAATTGGACCTGTGTTCGAGTATTCGATACGGAACAATCTATTGTTCTGATCCAACAAAACTCAGCGAAGACATAATCGTACATAACTCAATGTTATTTATATAACTTCTATGGTGGTCCACATGTGCTCATTTTTTAAATATCTCAAACACAACGAAGATGTTCAGCAGGTGATCCGAACATGGTTAAGTCTAATGTTTTACCTATTAGGCGATCGTACTAACAAAATTAATCAATTGACAGCATAGCTAAAACTCAAAAAGTCTTATCTACTTTGCTTTTCTAAAATTTAACCCTTTACCTACCACAGGTGAAGACTCCTAAATCTCTGGATGACGTTCCCAAGGTAGCAGAGACAGTGACGAATGAGCAAGGGGTTAAGTTCCCAGTGCCGAAAGGAATCAGACCTCTGCTGGCGAAACATAAAGTCGAGGTTTGGCTTTTATTTCACCCTGTTTGAGATTTTCGCGCTTTTGTTAGTTGAGGATGGAAATCAGGGAGTTAAAAATTTAGTGAGGATCGCTAAATAGGAGCGTGGCTTATACATAGTGAATTGGTATGATAATAGTATTGGTGTGTGGAGGAGCACCTTCAAAAATTATTATTTTCTAAATTTTTCGGTAGATTTCGATTAGAGGTAAGCTAGTCTTGAAACCGATTGAATACTTACGCCCCCTCAAATATTCGATGGATTAGAAATGGCGACGAAGGTTTAGATCAGGGTTGGACCAATACCCTTTTTTGAGTGGGCCTGTGACAGACAATAAACTTGGTTACTGGGCTGGAGTCTTAAAACTCGATATAAAAACTATGAATAAAAAACAGTTTTTTTACAACAGCTAGGCTGATGTTTATTATATAATAATAAGAAGCAAAATGTATCAATCGAGCACATTATGACGTTATTTTAATCGATATTTTGAACGTGAATTTTTATTTATAAGAATAAGCGTCATAAGTTTAGCTCAAACAAGTGGATCGAATGAAACACTACGGAGGGCCGGATCGGGGGCTGTAATATGCTCACCCTTGGTTTTGATCGAGTGAACTAGGGCTGCTAGGCTTATCCGTAGTGAAATATGCATAAAATGTTCTGGGTGCACGGGGGTTTCTGTGTAGAATGAATATCGTGGATGTGAGGGATTTAAAAATAGATAGTTATATGAGGTAGGAACAAGCTATTTTTAGGTCTATACGAATCTAAAATAAATTTTACTGAAATATGACGACAAAATTGACATATGCACGCAACAATATTGCGATAATTTTTTCTGCGGAATTCTCGATAAAAATCAATGTGCATGGCATATGTCTCATACAGCTTAAGGTAGAAATAGCGAAGGTAGGAAAAAGTATTGTGTGTGAATAGAATTAGGCGGTGCGGAATGTGATTTATGGTGTACATGTGACTTCTGATGGAAGTTCACAATGATCGCTAGAATTTCGTTATAAGCTTACTCAGGTGCCTAAGCCGATCCAAGCTCTCACGTATTACATAGAAGATTTGCGGATGAAATGTTGAGATTATCGTCTAGTATTTATATATAAATACAAGTACAGGCCATTCGCGTGGCGAGAAATTCTGTATTTTGCAGTTTTTAAGATGATTTAAAACACGTAAATATGTGGTTCTGATCTGGAAAGAATTTTTTGTCGCGACTTGAATCGGTCTGTTGTTGCTTTTCTAAGAAGCACAGTTCATATTGAAGTTAAAATCTCCTTTGATACTCTCTGGAATTTGAATGATTGTGATTTTCCGATCAAATGAGCTAAACTCGGATTTAGACTATTATCTATGAAATATAACACGGTTTTTTATCGAGCATAGAATACATTCAAGAAACTCTAAATGGCCGACTGTTTTGAGAATTTTCAGGAATTCGATTGTTTTAAAGCTTATAATTGATATATTGCTGTTATTCATATTCAATATAGAGCGGTGGTTTCCAAAGTTGGTTGACCGGGGGCCAAAATTAGAACAGGAGAATATTCGCGGTCATGAAAGGAAAGGGACCAATACCGGTACCGGTACCTATCCTTATGATATTGGTATAATTGTTACGAATATACACGTGATTAAACTGTGATGATGACATAACAATTGATGACATAACAATTGGCGGTATCTAGACCGCAGAAAAAGGAAAAACTTAAAGTGTTGAACTAGTTTGCCGGGCCATATTAAATTGTGGAACCACTGATGTATGAAGGCAGTTTGTGAACGATATAAACAAGGATGAAAGCATGAATGTCGGCACTATCAAATTCGCACCATTTTTTATAATTAGCCTTCCTTTATACCAGTTTCGACTAATCTTTTTCTAACTCCATTACAAATGACAATATTCAATTGTCACCTTGCAATAACAGACGCAAGAATTACTGTATTTTGTTGTTTCAATCCGCAATGAATTACGTGCGAAATATTGCGATTATCGTCCAGTATTTACATGTAAATACATATACAAGGTATTAGCGTGGCGAGGAATTCTATGTCTTGTTGTTTTTCAAGATGAAATAACCACTTAAGTATGCAGTTCTGATCTGAAAAGAATTTTTGTCGCGAAATTTTGTGAAATAATTCTTAAGCTATTTCTGTTTTTTCTAAGAGGCACAGGTCGTGTCATTGTCAAACACTTTATTAGTCATTGACATTTACATAACAATACCCTGTTTTCGTTTCTCCGTCCAAATATTGTGGTTGAAGTCATAACTTATATTGAATACTTTTTAAGCACTCTTTGGGATTAGGAATGACGGGATTATGACCGATCGTGCTATTTTATTCAGGCGTCGTGTAAGTCAGTGAGGTCAAAACTCAGACTCAGACGTTTCGTGACATCAAATCTGACAGATATATATTTGGAATTCATATTCAGCATAAAAGAATTAGTGTGTCTTGTTATTGGAGATGGAATAGGTACGTAAACATGTCGATTTTGTCCCGAAAAGAATTTTGAGGTTTTGTGGAAAAAACTTTATTCTGCAGTTTTTTTTTCTGAGAAAACACAAAGCGTGGGATTTTCGATACCTTTTTAGCAATAACAAGACATTAATATGACGTCATAGCGACATGTATATCCGATTAGACGACATAGTGGTGATTCCCGCTATGTCGGGGTGAAGCGATTCAAACCAGGCGCACCATCACATAATTAATAGGCACAAAATTTTCATAAACGGAGACATGGTTAGTGTCATGTACGACGTGAAGGCGCGAAAACGTCTCATAAAAAGAGTATTAGTGACTGTCTCGCATACCAGTGTTTTGCAACCGGAGTTGCGCCACCTCAGAGGTCCGCCACTTCAGACCAGGGGTTCGCAAGTTTCCATTCAAATCCCAGAGTCTGTATTATTATATGTATATCGTTTGGTTCCATTACATTTGAACCCACGTACATTTGAACCCATGACAATCGCACCTGTATGCTATTGCATCTATGGAATTTTTTTTGTTTCACGGATAGTTAAACTCATACTAACCCTAACCCATGGGTTTTAGCACCCGCATATAGATTAAACCCGTGGATATACGCATGGGTTCAAATGTACGTGGGTTCAAATGTACGGTCACCATATCGTTTAAATACAATACCGATACCGATCAGGTTTGCCACCTTCTCAAACTTGCTACAATTTATAAATCATTTTTGTCAGTATTCAATCTGCTTCGATATATAGTTATAGCTTATACAATCAATACAATGAGAAAATAAAAAGTAAATAAACTATTGCACAGGGGTTTCGCTAACCCAGCGGTTCACAACCGAGGGTCACAGAGCGACTGAAGGTGGCCTCAATGTTAGGCGCAGAGTTGATTTCACATTTCCCTTTACAAAAAGACTGCCCTTTCTTCCTAGTTTCATTGCTTCCGCTCCACCGAGATCAATTGCTCATATGATATGCTCGTTACTGATACACGCAAATAGTGAAAGGTTTGGAACACTTTAGCGTAAAGCGCAACCTAAGAAAAGGGGTGAAGACGACCCATCTAGAGGTCTCACTCATCAACAGAAGACTTCTTTAAGACCCCTCTGTGTTTGTAGGTATGTGCCTGTAATGCCAATCGATGCAGATATAAGGACCTTGTCGCATGAAATCACATAAAGATTGATGATAAAATACCAATATGGAATTACATACAACCATTGGCTAAGCATATGCTTGTCATAGAAAGCTTGTTACTCGTATTTGCACATAAATACATAGAATATAAGACAACGACTAATATAACTATGATATGCAATTCAATAGTCCTGCCTCACAACACAAATGTATTTCTGTAACGTTTTGTCTGAGTAAAGTCTGATTTTGCAGCAGGACTCTTGAATTGCATAATATGGTTCATTCCTGATACAACATCCTTGCATTATACAGATCCACTAACATAAACACAAGGAGGAAAATAGGGAGTTAATCTTGCGCAACCAAATTAATAATAACATAACCATGACATCATATCACGTGCAAGAATTCCTGTCGACTTACATTATTACAGCATAGAGATGTAAATAAAGTTGTGAAGAGAAAATAGTGCCAAGGTGAACTTTCGTGTCAGAGTTAACGATGTTATCTGGTGATGAGCGTAACTGTCATGTTTCAACACTGTCAAAATTTTACAGTCAGTTCATCTGTAAATTGAAAAATATTGACATCAATTTACTGCAAAATTTTGAAAATTTTACTCGCTTTTTTTAATAGGAATCTAAAATCACAGTTAAATACCTCAGTAATTTGTATTATCCGTGTTAAATTACTGTTTGATTCATGTGAAATTACATTTATTTTGACAGTGTGGACCTTAATTCCATTTATTTTTGTTTCATGTTTTACTGTTTATATTTATCAATTAATCCTGGTAAATATTTAGGGTTCACGATGAGTTAACAAGTTGAAACTATTTCGGATGTTTTTATGTGACATATATAATCTTATTCTGTGTCAACGCCCCATTTTTTATGCTGATGCTCAGGTATTAAAAGTCATTTGTTGTTTTTCTACTTAAAACGCGTTTTATGTGAGGACTCTGCCAATCTTCCAATGTTCACGGCCGACCGCGACCCCACTACCCCAGGGGTGGGCAACATACAGATTTTGACCGGCCCGCTGACTGTATCCAACCACACTCTGTAATGTGGTCCAACGCATCATTCATGAAAGTCGCCGATCGCTCTACTCTCACCGCACTGTCAGTGCGAGCTGGGGAAATAAACAATTGCTTTAATGAACAAACAATTGCGTTGGCACCCTTGTTAAACAAACAATGTAAGGTCAAAGCAGAAAACGTTGTAAACATTCCCCACTACTGTTATCAGTTATATTTAGAATCTAATTATAAAAAGATTTTAGAAATTAGATTTTATATTAGGTTTTATTTAACCATGGAATATCCCAGGAAACGTAAAGTTGACAGAGAGTGTCGAGCATTTAACA